ATCGTTTTAACCCCACATCATCTGGCATTTTGCCCTCACTTTAGGGACTGGTTGTCTTCATTTCTTCTGACCACTGTCAGTGTTCAGGCTCTGTGTCCCTGAGGCCTCCATACTCCTCTCAGAGCACCCTGGAAGAGCACAAAAGGAGGCTGGCTAATAGAGATGCTTCAGGTGGCTCGGGGGGCCCAATAGAAGGCCCTTGTATGGTCTATCCATGCCCAGCTGAGGAGCTGCCCAGTCTCCCCTACTCTGCCTCCTCCTCCCTCTCTTCCTCCTAGTTCTAAAATTTCTCTTTTCTTAGGCTCTGCTCCATGGGACCATGTGCTGTGTGTGCCCACTCCTAGTGACCTGATCTCTTAACCAGTTAAAAAGCTATGTTTCTGAGGGTGACATCACCAAAATGGCAACATATGTCATTCCTGACTTTGCTCCTCTCACGAGAACAACTAACATCTACTGAAGAATAAGACACCACTGAGAGTCCCAGAACACAGGAGCAGGAGTGAGGCTGAAGCACCCCTCTGACCCTCAGAGACCAAGACAGACTGCATTAGAAGGGTAAGAGAAGTGGCTACACATTGGTTGCTTTACTCTTCCACTAGGCCAGTGCAGCACCCCATGGAGAGGTCTCCCCTGAGGCTCCAGTTCCTCCAGTGGGAAAAGAGAACCTGAAGAGGATGACCAGCCTCCCCCAGCATTGTGGGTTGCTTTGTGGAAGCCCCTACTCTGATATTGCACCACGGGAATTACAGGGGAATCTGCAGGGCTCAGCTACAGGGCATCTTAGCCAGGACAGGAGAGGGTGGAGGATTCAATGCAATCCCTATCAAAATTCTAATGGCATTTTTTTTTTTTTTACAGAAGTAGAAAAAACAACCTGATATTTATATGGGACCACAAAAGATCCCAAATAGCTAAAGAAATCCTGAGAAAGAAGAACACAGCAGGAGGTATTGCATTTGATATAACTTGATTTCAAGTAATACTATAAAGTTACAGTCATCAAAACAGTATGGTGCCAGCATAAAAAGAGACAAATGGACCAATGGAACAGAATTAAGAACCAAGAAATAAACCCAAGCACATATGTTCAACTAATATTTGACAAGTAAGCCAAACCTACTCCATGGAGAAAAGACGGTCTCCTCAATAAATTGTGCTGGAACAATGGGATATTCACATGTAAAAAAATGAAACTGGACCTATATCTTATACCACACACAAAAATGAACTCAAAATGGATTAAAGGCTTAAATGTGAGGTCTGAAACATGAATTGCCTAGAAGAAAACAAGAAACAAAGTTCCTTGACATTGGTCAACAAAATAAAAAATAAAGAAGTGGGATTATATCAAACTAAAAGGCTTCTGCACAGTGAAAGAAAACCATCAACAGTGAAAAGACAATCTACAGAATGGGAAAAAAATTGCAAACCACATATCAGATAACAGGTTAATAACCAGAACATAAAGAACTCATACAACTCAATGGCAAAAAACCAAATAACTCAATTTAAAAAATAGGTAAAGGACCTGAATAGACATTTCTCCAAAGAAGATTTACAAAAGGCCAACAGGTACATGAAAAGAGGCTCAACATCACTAATTATCAGGGAAATGCAAATTAGAACCACAATGCAATAAAACCACACCTGTTAGAAGAGTCATCATCAAAAAGACAGGAGATAATAAATGATGACATGGATGTGGAGAAAAGGGAACCCTTGGGCACAATTGGTAAATTGTGCAACCCTCGTGCACCTGTAAATTGGCGCAGCCACAATGGAAAAAGTATGGAGGGCCCTCAAAAGATTAAAAATAGAACTACCATATGATCCAGCAATTCTACTTCTGGGAGTATCTCCAAAGATAATGAAAATGCAAACTCGATATCTGTACCCCTATGATTACAGCAGCAGTATTTACAATAGTCAAGACATGGAAACAACCTAAGTGTCCATCAATGGATAAATGGATAAAAAAAGTTGTGGCATGTAAAGCATTATTTAGCCATAAAAAATGAGGAAACACTGCCATTTGCAACAACATGAATAGATCTTGAAGGCATTATGCTGAGTGAAATAAGTTAGAGAAAATAAAATACCATATGATCACCACTTACATGTTGAATCTAAAAACTCAAAATTCACAAAATAAAAGGAACAGAATTGTGGTCACCAGAGGTTCTGTTTAAGGTAGAGGGATCTTGCGGGGAGGGTGAGTTGAAGGAAGGTGGTCCAAAATTACAAAGTTCCAGTTATAAGATAAATAAATACTAGGGATGTAATGTACAACATGATGACTATAGCTATCACTGTTGTATGATATACAGGAAAGTTGTTAAGAAAGTAAACCTGAAGAGTTCCCATTACAAGAAGAAAAAAATTCTTCCTTTATATTTCTTTCTTTGTACCATATCTATATGCTAAAACTATGTGGCAATTATTTCACAATATATGTAAATTAAACCATCATGCTATAGGCCTTACACTTATACAGTCATGTATGCCAATTATTTCTTAATAAAACTGGGGAAGGAAAAGCTGTTTCCAAGAGTCCTTTGAATAGTGAACTAAATGATGGCATTGACTCAGGGAAGGACTTTAGGCAAGTTGGCTTTGCTCCTTCCCAAGTAATCCTGCATGAAGCTGCTTATTCTTCCAAAGGCAAGCCTGGAGTGACACTTTCAATTATTTTATTCATTTATAGCTTTCGCTATATGTGGGTATAAAGTGGTGTCTTCCTTCCTAGGCCCCATGCTGACAGCAGTTACAGGTGACCCATTTTGTATTTGTGGCATCTGCACAAAAACCTTTGGTTTGATCTGACCTGGCTTTTTGGTCTGAAGGGTTCTAGCTCCCAGCGGGCTGCTGGAAGTTCAGTCACTTTGCCACATTTTCCTCAGGCTTTCATAGGGGACCCTTGAGTATGACTATCCATGACTGATGCAGGTCTGGGCAGACCTGTACCCAGCAACGGTCTTCCCCACCTGCTGTAATAAAAAACTGGCCATACTTGTGCCATTGTGTCAGAGCCTCTGTGGTCCAGTCAGAGCTCAGAGCTGCTTGTTCCAGCAACAGAAATGCAGATTCCCTTTTTTGACCCCATAGCTTCAGGCTTGTGTGAACTCTGGTCAAACTAAGAACAAACTCTTCCACCCCACTTTCTTGTGATAGATTCACAAGGTACAGACCAAGTTTTATTCATTTTTTAACAGTGACCAGCTTTGGCCCATGGGAAGCACTCCATATAATCTCCCTAACATTTAAAGTCTCTGCAAATCAATTAGATAAACCACCTGAATTTCTCAATGGTCTGCTGAGATGGATTAGTAGGTGTTTCTTGGGAAAGAATTTGGTGGTCAATTAGGATGGGAAAACTCTGGCTTAAACCACAGGTAAATTAAACAGGCTTGTTTGCTGCAATCATAATCAGAGGCTTTAATATGCTACAATGGGCATCTCCAAGAGGGTGGCCATCAAATGCAGAGGGTGTCCTGACCAAGTCCTTTTTATGGAGAGCATCTCTTGAGACTAGGATTCCATGGGACACACTTTGGGAAATAATAATCTGGTCTAATTATAGTTTTACTGATGAGGAAATGGTGACAGAAAGAAAATATGGCTGAGCTGGCTTGGTGGAGTTCCATCTCAGAATACCTGTCTCCCAGACCAAGGCTTTTTTCCCCCACTCACTAAACATCTAACCAAGCATACCAATCAACTATAGATTCTTGGGGATCATACCTAGGATACAAGAAAAAAAATTTCAATTTAATGTTGAGGGGTTACAATGGGGGCGGGGGCTTGGGGAGAAGGGAGTTAACAGTGGAAGTCATTCAAAGCAAAACCCAGCTTTATATAGATGATCAAATTTTTGGCTTCAGAAGAGTCCATTTTTTTTTTTTCTTGGTGAAGACACTAACGAAGACCAGCTGTACTTCTGTGAAGAAATGCCACACCAGGTCCTTTTTAAAATATCATAACGTGCAGGAGACAGGTGGGAACACATGCGACTTCAACCCTCCCCAACATGCCTCAAATTGACCGCCACATTCCAGAAGCCCCACAAAATAAATCGTTTATTCTGTCCAAGCAGTAAATACACTAAAATTCATCTGACCCTATTATATGCAAGGCCTCTGCAAGGCACTGGGGATCTCAAAGAGGAATACAGCGTAATTCCTGCTCTGAAGGGATTTTCTATACTGCAGGGGACACAGAAAAGGCACGGAGCGACTGTGACAGGGCTACACTGACGATGTGAGCCGATAGAGGGCAGTGTTTGCAAAGCCTTTTATTGCCCATTCTCCTAAGAAGCTTGTATACCTTAGTTCGTAGGCCACGGGGAGCTAAGGATGATGTATGTGTTCCGTTTTAAATAGAGAACTCTGGCCACAGAATGCTCCTCACCACTTGTAATGATCTCATCACCTCAGCACCCCTGAAAAAGGAGATTGATGCCAGCATTGCGGGTAGGTTCTGCTTGAGTTCTTGCAGACTAAGCCAAAGCAGCAAGTTCGCGATGGCTCCCACGCTGCCAGAACCAGCGTCACAGTGAACAAGCATTTATAGAGAACACACGGGCCTTCAGGTGCCCACTATTAAATTTAAATCACTTGGGGTCCGGTAAGTCTCTTGACAGACGCGGGATTAACGACTTCCCACAAGAGCCTCCACATTTACCGAGCACAACCATCAGGCAGCACGTACAGGAACGCCACTGTGGCTGCTCCATTGCATTGACGAGGGAGGATACGGGATCCCGCGGACGCAAGCCGAGCTGCTCCAAATCACAGCGTTAGCGAAGGGCGAAGCCCACCATCCAGAACTGACACCGTGACCACTCCCACGCTTCCGCGGGGGCGCAACGGCGGAATGCGACACAGCGCTGGGCTTGGGCATTCTTCTTGGTCCCCCGGCAGTCGACGGAGGCGGATCCGTGCCGGGCTGACGCTACACCCGGCGGAAGCGCCCGGCTGACGCCAAGGCGAAAGGAGCCCTCCCCGGAAGTCCCGCCTGTCTCTAGAGGGTGTCCCGGAAGTGCTGCTGTTGTAGCGGGCATGATGGCTTCAAGGTTACTTCGCGGAGCTGGAGCGCTCGTCGCGCAGGCCCTGAAGGCTCGCGGTCCCAATGCGGTAGCTGCCGTGCGCTCCATGGCGTCTGGAGGTACTCGGCCCACCGACTGCGTCAGAGACCAGTGCGGTGGCCCTCCCCGGGGGATACTAGCGCAGCTCCTCTGGGCCCCAGTGACTGCCCCCGAGCCCCGCGGGCCTCAGGCTCCGCGGGCATTTCCCTGTTACTTCCGACCGCTGCTGCTGCAGCAGCCCACGAAATTGACCCTGCTGCGAAAGAATCCTAAATGGGGGTACCGGGTGACCTTGGGGTCGGGGGGGCGGCAGGTGCTGCAAGCGCGATGGGGAGGGGTTAAGCCGCCTTTCAGATCCGCGCGCAAAGTTGGACTCTTGATTTAGCTGCTTTTAGAAAAAATGCGTCGAAAAAACGGCCTCGGTGGTTGAGGGAAAAAAAGATTTCCCCGGTGCTGTCACTTTGGGGGAATCATGACTCTGGTACTTAGGGGACAGTGGGTATGGGTAGCCTCCAGGAGCTTGTGAGCCCACTTAAACAGTACGGAGAAATTTACATTTGTGTACTTTCTGCCTTGATCACTTCAGACGACATCATAATTCAAGTATCTTTTTTTAGGTGGTGTTCCTACAGATGAGGAGCAGGCGACTGGGCTGGAGCGGGAGGTCATGATGGCTGCGCGGAAGGGACTGGTGAGGAGAAACTGCTTTCTGTGTCTTCTCTGGAGCTCATGGCCTTGGATGGGATCAGAGTAGCCTCTGCTCCGGGAGCATTTGATCCCGGAAACCTGTCTGTGGGAACAGTAACGCTAGTCCCTGGAGGGTAGGGTCTTCTGGTATAATGGATCAATTCTTATATTTTTCAGGACCCATACAATATGCTAGCCCCAAAGGCAGCTGCAGGTACCAAGGAGGATCCTAATTTAGTGCCCTCCATCACTGACAAGCGAATAGTGGGCTGCATCTGTAAGTATCTCACCAGTATTTTCTTAGTCATTTGTTTAATATACCCTACTGTACAGGATGTCTGTAAGCTGCTTCAAATCTTTCATGCATGTATGTAAAGAGAATATGTTTGTAAATAAGTTGTTCTAAGGCCCTCTCAAGCCTTCTTATGCCTGAGTAGGTCACCCTTGTCAAGAGGCTCACTGGAGATGCAACATGAAGAAGTATGCCTCCAGGAAACGCTGTACTTCCGCTTTGCCCGACACCATTTTAGGCACTAGGATTAGATATCAGAATGACCCTGCTTTGGGATTCTACATAGGCAGGGGAACTGTTAGAACCTATACTGACTCCCATATATGGTCAGTTTACTCCCAGGTAAATTCAGGGCCACAGTTTCTTCATCTGAAAAATGGGGAGATAGCTTGAACTGATCTCTTAAGATCAACTGTAACTTTTGTGTCTTGGACGTGTCTAAGGAAAAGAGATGTTGACAGTCTCCTCTCTTTTAGATGGCCTTCAACCACCTTTTTCCTTTTAGGTGAAGAGGACAACAGTGCTGTCATCTGGTTCTGGCTGCACAAAGGCGAGACCCAGCGATGCCCTAGCTGTGGAACCCATTATAAGCTGGTGCCCCACCAGTTGGCCCATTGAGCCCCTACACTCTCTCAAAATGTGCTGTAAAGCTTCTTGTCTCTTATAAAGACTAGCCATTGTTTTGGCTCCTCCCATAGTTGGCTGGTTTTACTTCTGTCCTGTTTTTTTGGAGCGATATGGGAAATTCTTGTATCGGGAATAGCTCTCTGTTACTATTAGCTTGCTATTCACTTGTGTACACTGGGATTGACAATCCCATAATTGGGATTGCATGGGGGAAAGCATGTGCTGTGAAGTCAGACTGACTGGACTTGTAATATTGGCTCCATCATTTGTCACTGGGGCTGTGTTTTCTTAGAGTATGTTAATAAAGAGCCTGGCAGATGGTAGGTCCTCAAGTATTGTTACAAAGACAGGCTGAACTTGTGAGGAAATTTTTGGGGGGCTTTGAAGTCTTGAGGGACCCAGGTTCAAAGCACAGATAATGGGGATACCATCAACAAAATTCAGAATATGGGACAATTCCGGAAACCAATGATTAGGTTTTGTCAACAAATACATTGCAAGAAGAGAAAGAGAGAATACCTATACAATGAAATGGATGTGAGGGAGATAGCAAGCAAGAGCAATGGTGAACCTTGTTTGGATATTGATTTGAAAAACCAACTGTAAAGAAAAAGAAATTGGAATAATTTGAACTCTGAATAGTTGATATTCTAAGAATGTATTACATTTCTTAGGGGTACAATATACCTGGGATTAACTTTAAAACTGGGAAGAGGAAGAAGTGGTTTGGAGTGTGATTGATCCCTTGTAGACAGGTAGATACACGAGGGGGTCATTGTTCTTTCTGCTTTTGTGTATGTTTTAACTTTTCTATAACAATAAAACAGCACCAAAAAATAGAGTTGGGGAGGAGACAGCCCAATTTTGCCATTTCATATTTGTGATACCTTGGATGATTCTTAAAAACTATGCTTGTAAAATGAAAATAGTATTTTTCCATTTTATGTTGGGATTAGCCATAGAGGTGCTTTAATTACTGTCTCTAACAAAATTGATTCAAACTAGATGTTTCACTTGAACTGATGAGAGTCAAAAGAGAAAATTTCCTTTCCCCAGGCTTGCATCCTCTTCTCTTAAAGGTATAGTAAAACCACTGCGTCTATTTTTTGTTGTCATTATCTCATTTCCAGGAAATGCCTGAGCATTTATCTGGCATTCAAGACCCTTCCCTGTGGGAAGGGGAACACCTAGGTAGCCATCTATTAAATAAATATATTCCCACCATGTGAACCTTAAAAGCCTTCCTACATTAATCTGTCTTCCTCATCTCCAAGCCCACTTTGTTTCTTTATCCCTCTAAATAAAAATCCCCAGGCCGCAGTAGGCAGAATAATAGTCTCTCCTTACCCCACAAGATATGCATGTTTTAATGTCCAGAAACTGAGTATGTTAGGACCTGTAATGACAGCTTATGATAGCAGATAGAATAAAGGTTGCTTGATCATCTGACCTTAAAGTAGAGGTTATCCTGGTTATCTGGGTGGCCCAGTAATTGTGAGGGTGGCAGAAGTCAGAGGAGGATGTGACTGGAAGAGTGGTCAGAGATACAGTGTTGCTGGTCCCTTCTTCACCATGTATAGATTTATTAAATTATGTCAGAGTGGACTCATCACTATTGTGTTCTACGGCTTGTAATTCATTGCAGATTTGACCACTGGGTGCTCCTTCAAGTTGGTTCCTATTTCCTTTAAACAAGCCTCCTTCCATTTTTGAGTACATCCTTATTTTATGGTACCCACAAGATATTTCAGTCTCATTTTATACCCTCTCTGCCTCAGATCAGAATTTCTCCAAGAAGCTTCTGGTTCCTTTTATTGAAGAATTATATTTAGAAATCAAGATTTGGACCCTATATGATGTGCTCATTGCTACGGGGGTGTCATTGCTTCTAGGCCCTGTGAGCAGACAGGGCTAGGCAATACACAAATATTTCTAACCCTAGTGCACACAGATGTGTATGTATTTCAGTATCTCTCTGTATACGCATATATAGGAGTGTATACCCCCAGTCCCACCACCATAAGGTTCATTCTAGCCTTACCAACTTCTCCTCTGTAGCTTTGCTCCAGAAGAGAAACCCAGCAGGGACAGAGCTCCAAACACATCATCCCTGCCAAGAGGGAGGAGGGAGGATGCTGCATAGTGCTTGGCTTAGAGGATGGGATTTTGACAGACTATAGGAAAGTCATTCCTAGCAGATAACAGCATGAGTAGTGGCTGGCAGGCAAAGCAGGGCATGATGATGCAGAAGCCGAAAACATGGAAGGGACAGGTCCCAAAGGGCCTGAGTTAAATGCAACGAAGTGTAGTTCATGAAGGTGGTCTCGCCAGGCAGTGGAGAACTGCTTGACATTTTGGATGAGGAAGTGGCAGAATCAAAGTTACCTGGCTTTCAGATCCAAGAGCAAATGAATTGGGGAAAATGGAGCCAGGGACGTAGTGGCCACCATGGAAAAGAAATGGGTAGGAAAGGTATTACCTTTCCAAAAGAACTTGGTAACTGACAATGTAGAGGACGTAAGGAAGAGGAGGACTCAAAGTAATAGGTCTCTAACTTGTATGGTTGGGAGAAAAATGGTACATGAACAGAACCCCAAAGGGTTCTCTGTAAACTGTCTCCCTCTTGAGGGCAGGTATGAGCTTACCTGCATTTTGACCACAAACCCTCAAAAAAATGCCCTGTGAAGACAGGCTGGACAGAGTAATCTCTCCTCCTACATGATCTCAGTTCCGGGCTTTCCCTCAGCTCCACTCCCTCCAGTTGCCTTCAATACCCAGCTACGACAATCACCCTCCCATGGCAGGCTGCCCACCACCTAGTGCATTGCTAAAAACCCCCAGGGCCCTCCCTGTGCTCGTCCCACCTGACCTTTTTGGTGTATCCCGCATTCTAACCAGAGACTACTTTTTCTTCCCTGCCGACTTGGCATCACTCAGGTCTGTGCCTTCTGTCCAGTCCCACTGGTCCCAGGGGTCCTCTTGAGCGCTTACATCTGCCAGGAACACCACCCCACGCCTGGTTAACTCTTCTCGGGCCCATGCAAATTAGCCTGCTCCACCTGGTGGGTTAGATGCCCCTCCTTCTGGCCCCACAACTCTACTGAAATTGCCTGTCCTTCTTCCCCTGACCTGTATGTTTTTGGGGGCAAATACATGTTTACTGTTGTCCCCAAACACATGGCACCCTCCTGGACTTACTGTAGGTGTTCAAATACTTGATGACGGAAGGAAAGGGCAGACACTTCTCACTTCTCCTTCCATGGCCCTTGCAAGCCTCAGCTTCTACCTTCAGAGCCCAGTTCATTAACACAACCTTTGCCATTTCCCCTTCTCACTCTCCTTCCTCACTTGCATCATTGTTGGTCCGTCAGCCTTAGCCACATGTGAGCACGGCTGCAGAGGTGTTCAAACAGGTGAGGATGCAGAGGCACCAAGCCACAGCTCCACCTGTCCAAGAATAAGGCAAAGGAAGGCAGCCTTGCTCTCTGCTTCTCATGGAGGCCTGCAGCGCGTGGGTAACGGGCCTGGGGAATTCTGCCACCAGGCTGAGAGCCCGGCCTCCCAGGGCCTCCTGTGCCACTTTGCCCCGCCAACCACTAAAACCCTCAGCGCTCTGAGCTAGAGCTGGTGCCGTGCTGCATTCTTGCCCGTCCTTTCTCCAAAGTCTCCAGGGATGGGTGAGCAAACAACAGCATAAAAACCACAAGAAAAGAGAGCCACACACTGGGCCTTGTCCATAATTATTACTATAATGATTTAGAAAAAAGGTTTTTTCAGGCAACTGGGTTAAATTACTGTACATATCTGGGAGAGGGAGGTGAGGGGCCTGGCCCAGGGAAACGAGGACCTCTTTCTGGGAGAGGAACTGTGCCCCCTCACCCCTCTGGGTCTGCCTTCTGATTAAGTGGCTCCCCCCACAACAAGTGAAGACCATTAACTCTTCCCTATCCAGGGTACGGGGGCCAAGGAGAAGGAGCAGCAAATCAATGAAATGCCTCGAAGGGGAGAACACAAGAGACTGGCTGCCCCATCCCCTGCATACTCTGCCCTGGCTCCAACCCTGGGCCAGAACCCCTCACTGGGTAGGGCAGACTGCCCTCTAGTCAGCCTGCACCAAGGCATCCACTCAGGAATACAGGGACAGAGTATGGAAGGTCCGGGATGCCTCGGAGTGGCTGGCTCTTTGTGCTTCCCTGTCAGGTCAGGAAGGGGAGGTGGCATGAGAAACAACGATACACCAGTGGGGAGCTGCTGGCTGCTCCCTCCTCTAATCCACTCCCCAAGGCTAGTTACACAGGCATCCAGGCACCCAGCTCTGGGAGGGATCCTGGCGAAGGAAATGGGGGCAGTTGGGTGTCTGGCCTTAGAGCTCGGGGGAAGCAGCCCCAAGGGTTAGAGCCAGGAACCATAGGTCTAAATGGCTCTGCCAAGGGGGACAACCAGAACCATCCATGGCTGGGCTCCTCGGTTCCTATATTCCAGCTCAAGACTCTCACCCATGCAGCTAAACATTACCATGTCTGTGTGTGCATGCTTGCGTGTGTGTGGAAGGGAGTGCTGCAGGGAAGCGCTACTGCACCACCTGCCCGGGGTTCAGGGCATGCAGGGGACCCTACGCCTGGTACGTGAGCCCCGCCCACAAAGGGTCAAGGGCTCTGGCTCCCCTTTGCTCCCATTCTCCCAACACACTGCCCCTCCTCCTTGGGCACTAGAAGGTTTTACGATGAATAGCACGGGCGCCATCTTCTTCATACTCTTTCTTGGAGACCCACATCTTCTTAAAAGTGTCTAGTGAGGCCAGGATGGACCCGCTGTGAGGAGGAAGGGATGGTGTTCTTATGGTTAGCCACCGTCCCTGGGCACTCAGAGTTCTGTTTCCCTCACCTGGGAGGGAAATCCATCCACCTCCCCCTGGCCCGGGCCAACCCTCGGAGAAGTGTCCAGGGCAAAATGGTTTCCTCCCAGAGCCCTCCCTGTGAGCTCTGCCTTACCCAATCCACGTGGAGTACAGCCGTTCTTGAGGCGCAGAGATCTAGCGGGAGTAAGAGGCAACTAAGAGCCTGTCCCCACACAGCAGCCCCTGTCCCAGCCTTGGGGGTGATTTCCTGCAGGGCACGAGGCCAGATAGCTGGTGCATCAGCTGGGGGCAGGGGGAACTGGCGAATGGGAGATGTGGCTGGGCTGGAAATGGCAGGGCCTCTGGAGGTGGCATGTGCCCTCTCCCTGGTCAAGGCTGCCCAGGACCCCCACGCCCCATGGGCACTCTCCACAACCTCACCTTGATTTTGACATCCTTTGGGGCAAGCTTCTTCACTTCACTTAGTAATCGGTCACCAAAGCCTGTGAACACAAGGCTGACTAGCCCGGGGTCCCCATCCAGCCCCCTTACCACTAGCTCTCCCATATCCAACCTGGTGTCCCCCGGTGGCCACCCTCCTTTCAGCAGTTCTTCCCAGGATTAAGGGTAGTCACAAAAACACTCCAAGGGCAGAAAAGACCCAGCACCAGGCCTGCAGGGAGTCCAGCTTCCAAAGAGAGGTGACAGGAGATGCATCCCCAAGTCACATAGCTCTGCTGGCCCCCAGGTTTTCCCCCCAATGCTCCAGTAGCTAAAACCCACCAGAAGCAAAGTCAAAGGCTAATGACAAATCAGGAGAAAACATCTACCTATTTGGCAGGCGGGCGAAGATCACACACAGTGTCAGGCTGGCAGTGGGCACAAGCTCTCAGGAGGGACACCTCGGCAGTACCCACCAAATAACAAAGGCACACCTGCCCTCCGACTCAGGACTTCTACTCTAGGATTTACCCTGTAGTATATTCTCAGCATGTGCAATGACAGTGCGGGAGGGTACTAATGAGAGGTGGCTACAACTCCCTCAAGGGCCAGCAGCAGGACAGTGGCTACACGGGACATCCATTTAGTGAAATACTGTATGGCCGTATGAAAGAACTTACAGGGGTAGAAAAAGAGCTTCCAGATATGATGCTAAAGCCATACATGGTCAGGACTTGTGGAACACGCTACAGTGTGTGTGTACACGGGGTTGATGCACATTTGTTAATATGGGCAGGGAGGCAGTCGACCGCTGCCTGAGAAACCAGCAAGTCCTGTGTGGAGGAAAGGGGCGGCCAGGACAGCAGGGAAAGGGCACTTCACGTAACATGGTTTAGATCTCATATAAACTTAGTGCTTATTTACAAAGTGAGTAAAATGTAATTTTAAATATTCCTCTTCTTAAAAAAATTGCTCACTGAACATCAAAAGGCTAACAGAAAACAGGCCATGTGCCAGGCTGCTGGTGAAGCTGCAGTTGCCCTCAGCTCCTAGAATCCTGCCGCCACCTCCCAAACCAGGGTACCTTTGAACAGCGTGGAGCCGCCTGAAAGCACGATGTTGGCGAACAGCGTCCGGCGGAGGTCCAGGTCAGACTTGTGGATGGCAAACGCCAGCACCTCGTGGAGTCCCTCGCTCTCATCCCCTATCAGGTCTGGCTGGAACAGCAGCTCGGGAGCTCGGAATCGCGCTGGCCCCACCTTTGGAGCATAATATGGAGACAGTCTTTTTCCTCCTCCAGGTCCCAGCAGTACCACTGCCACCCAGGGCCAGGCCTGGCGACTTACGTCAAGCATGCTGCCATCTGGCAAGGTGTACTGCACCTTCTCTGTCTCCAGAGCCTCATCCTTCTGAGGGTTGATAGACAGGTAGCAGGCTCTCTGCAAGGGGGTGGCGGCAGGGACACATCCTCAGAAGGCTGCAGACTGGGACACCCACACCCAGGGTTCCACCTCAAGCCCTGGTCCTGCTTCCCTTCCCCACCCTTTGCCCTCCAGGTCATCTTGACACCCTCTTGCCCTTTGTCACCTCTTTGATGGTCCGAACAACCTCAAACTCAGCTGAGGTGTGAAAGTCGACGCCTTCCTTGCGCAGCAGCAGCCGGAGATAGCGGGAGACGTCGCGGCCAGCAATGTCCACCCTCATGATGGAATGTGGCATGGCAAAGCCCTCGTAGATAGGGACAGCATGGGTGACCCCATCCCCTGAGTCTAAAACCACTCCTGTTGTGCGTCCTGTCGCATACCTGTCAGCAGGTCAGCATCCCTTCACCTCAGCCAGCAAGGCATGGGGACCTCCCACCCCTGGAAGGGACCCTGGGACAACGGAATGATCTGATCTGAAAAAGGGACACGAGGAACTCCCTAAAGGAATAACCATCAGGGGGCTGTTTCTATAGGGAAGCCAGACACCTGGTCACCTTGAGCAGGATGGCCCCAGGGAGGATAGGGACACAGGGGACCACTCACAGGCTGAGTACGGCCTGCATGGAGATAAACAGGGCCGGCACATTGAAGGTCTCAAAGAACACCTCTGCTGCCTTTTCCCGGTTCTTACTCGGGTTGAGCGGGGCTTCCGTTAGAAGAACTGGATGCTATAAGAGATGGCAGAGTTGAGGGCGTGTGCACAGACAGTACGCTAGGCTCGAAAAGGATCTTTCCAGACAGCCAACCCCCTTTGCCCCCTGCTTTGAATACACGTGGTTACAGCCTGATGTCCTTCTCAAGGGCACTTTCCTGTCACCTGCTGGCAATTATTCCAAAGAGCCAGCCCTCTCTGGAAGTGAAGAGGTGGCAGGCCCTCCTATCGAAATGCAGGAAATGTGGGAACCTGACCACTGGGGAGCACAGCAAGGAGGGCAAAGCGAGCGGATTCGGAGCCTGTGGGAGGCCTGGCTGCCACACCTCCTCAGAGAAGGTCTGCAGCTGGTCCTTGGAGTAGACGTACTGCCAGATGCGCTCCATGTCATTCCAGTCCCGCACCACGCCGTGCTCCATGGGGTAGCGTAGGGCCAGCAGCCCCCGGTGCTCCTGCAGAGGAGGGGTGGAAAGGCCAGTATGGCCCATGCCCCTCACCCAGCCATTGCTTTCTGCCTTTCTGGAAGCCGCCCTGAGTAGAACCACTGCTGTTCACTGGGTGCCCCCACGCACTGCCAGGTCCTGAACTCAGTGTAGGCTCAGTTGTCCGGCAGCCTCTCAGGATCTCAGAGCCCAGCCAGCCTCAACTGGCCGGGGACAAGCGACGGTGGTGACATGATTCCTCCGTCATCCAGTCCCTCCTCTTCCTCCCCTGACCATGCTTCTCTACTCTCACTGCCAGCACATTCTCCCCTTCTCCCCACTTCCATCTCTATCACTCATAGTTACTGCTCCCATCAGCGGCTGTACAGTTCCCGCCAGTGGCCACCCGTCACGCCCACCCCCACTTCTTCCAGCTCCCCCGCCAGTGCTCACATCTCCTGCATGGATTTGCCTTTCGATGTCACACACAACATGCCCCTTCTTGCCAACCCCCACCTGGCCTCTCTCTCCCTACTCACTCATCTCCTGAGAGCTCTTATCTTACCCCAACTCAGGCCCCAGGCCCTGGCACCCCACATTATGTTTTGCAGGTGCCTAATCTGCACTTTCTTTTAATTCTCCCACTCCGCATTTGCTCCGCTTGAGGGCCTCTTCTGGTTTGTGTGGCCCCTGGCAAGTCACCCTCGCTCGGATGTAAAAAAAGTGGCTCCACAGCTCTCATTGTGATCAGTTATCAAGTCTGGGTAATTCAGACTCTTAAGTCACTTTTTAATCAGTTCTTTCCTCTGCAGCTTCCAAAAGACAGGGCATGAAATGGTCTAACTGTTCCCCTTCCCCCCGCCCACAGGAACCAGTGCCTTATTACAGGGCAGAGTTCTTCAGAGCTGAAGCCTGGGGTGTCTAGGGGGCACCTGGCACACGGCTCAGACAGCAGAGTCCCAGATGCCTCCGCAGTACAGCTCTGGCCCCCAGCGGATGCTCCCGGGACTATGAAGACCCCAAACCCAAGAAAATACAGGTTCCACAGGTGTTACCTCTGCTTTCGGTCCAATGAAGAGGTCTCCTTCCAGGGCTCCAGCCATCACCCGCATGTGCTTAGGGCGCCCGACACTGTGAGGGCAGGTAAAGTCAGTGAGGTTGGTGGGGGGCACAACTCAGCTCAGCCCAGGAAAACCAAGTCCAGCTCCAGTGGTCAACAGAGAGACTTACTCCAAAGCAACAGGATGTGGTCATGGGGTAAAGGTCAGAACCCAGGGATATGGGATAAGGGACTACAGAACAGGCCATGGCAGTACAGAAAGCTCAGGGTCAGAACAGGTGTCCCTCCAAGAGAGGGCTGAGCTTTGGGATGTTAGCCCTTCATGGCCCATTCCTGGCAGTGGGTCAGCTTCTGCAGCCATAGTGCTCAGCCCACGCTGTCAATGTTAGGAGGACAAGGCTGCGGCCACTACCTGTAGACCCAGGGAGGAAGGCCCTGGGAAGCTGGGTAGTGGCTCCTTTGTGCACCCCTCTCACATCAGTTGATCCTGCCCCTTCCCACTGCCAGGGCTTCCAGAATAGAGATTCCAAAATTTGACCCAAGTTTCTTGTGCATCAACAGGAACCTTAATTACACCCAAGTGGGGTTTAGAAAGGAAAGCTGGAGCCCTACTGGGTGTTCCACACTGGCTTGTTTCCAGACCAGGCCTCGAGTCTTGGCATAGCCAGCCACTTCAGGTGACCCTGGACCCCCTGCCCACCCCCAGACTTAGGCTAATCACTCTAAAGCCTCCAGGATTTGCGAGGTGACACTGCTGAGGGAAAAATTCCCAGTGGGCTGGAGTAGCCGAAGGTGTACCCCAGGTTCTCCAGATTTTACCTCCTCTGACCCCTGCTACCGCTGGAACTATTCAGGGAAATACCTTCTAGACTGAAAGAAAATTTTTTAAAGTCTGAAAATTAATAAGCCCTGAAGAAAACCTCTCCTCGGAAGAAGAGGTGGCCGTGCAATAATTTTCCATTCTTCCCTCCTCTTAGTTCAGGTCTTTCTCCTGGAAACTTCTCCCTTTTATTTTTGCTGCTGCTACCACACCCTGTCCCCAGGGAAATGCTGGCAGCTTCTCCTCCCCAGCTCAGTGAGGAACCAAATTCAGACTCCAAAGAGGAGGGGTAAGCCCAGCCTGCTCCTTCCAGAACCCTCAACAGTGTCAGCCTCACAAATCTGGTGTCTTCCCTACCGGTGGGGGCATGGTTGGCCTCAAAGACATGGGACCAGTGTTCTGGGAAGCACACTTACTAGTTTGGGAAACAGTATTTGGGAATCTGATCTCCTGCAAAGCCAGCCTTGATCACCCCGGAACCCTGCAAGGAAAAATAATGTTTAGCTGCCTGCATTTACTCCCAAATTAAGGCAGTGCCTTGCAGGGGAGAGTGCAGGCTGCCTATCCACAACACTGGATAGGCAAGCTCATTTACAAGTACACCAGTGGCTCAAAACTGTGCAGGGAGAGGGGGGCAGAATTTTGTATCCCCCTAAATTGACAGTGTCTATAGACTGGGGAGGGGAGGAAGGAAGCTATTGGCAATATAGTGGGTAGAGTTCAGGGACCTGCTAAACAGCCTACAGTGCACAAGCCAGACTCTCACAACCAAGAATTATACAGCCCAGAATGCCAACAGGAGATTGAGAGACCACCGCACACTCCAAGGTTAGCTCCTGGAAAGAGGAATCTGTGGCATAGCTACTCCTGAAGGCCAGCTAGAAGCGACCCCTGAGAGTAGCTTTTTTCAAGAGAGTAGCTCTTGGTCCCCCTGCTCCCAGCAGACTGTATCATGTACAGGGCCCATGGGAAGATGACAGACAAAGAACTTGTGCTGCCACTGTGCCAGCCTGGACCTGGCATCTAGAACCCCTCACCAAGCCCCATTCACACATATCTCCATCAAACACTTTGGGTCTGCAATGCAGGAATAAACGTCCCCAAGTTACAGAGCAGCCAGAAGCCCAGAGAAACCATGCAGGTGGCCCTCTGAACTCATAAGCTCGTTGATTAGCCTAAGTGAATTACGGGCCCACCAAGAAGGGAAGCAGACTGGTCGTTCCTGTAGCCTGCTGGAGACTACCCCCAAGCCCAGTCTAGCCTTCTTATTAAACATTCCTGCTGTGGCTCAGGGAGCCCACATAGGTACTCCCAAAAACAACTGCTTAGGGATGACATGTGGGGGTCATGTGGGAGAGAGGCAGATCCCAGAAAAAGAAGGGAGTCATTATCAAAAACTCCAAGTCTTGCCCTGGCCGCGTGGCTCAGCTATTTGGAGTATCGGTTCATACACCGAAAGGTTGTGAGTTGATTCCAGGTCAGATTGTAGGTTTGAGCCTTGGTCGGGGCATGTACAGGAAGCAACAGATTGATGTTTCTCACATCAATTTTTCTCTCTAAAATCATGAACATGTCCTCGGTGAGGATTAAAAGTAATAATAACAACAACAACAACAACAACAAAGAAACCCCAAGGCTCACACACCAGAGGCAGACACCCAGAGCCATTCATCCTTCTTCCAATGGACCAGAAATTTCTGAGGACAAATCCTCAGAGGGCAGCTGACAGCATGCCGAGCCCTACTGGTATAGAACAAGGCCACAAGGAGGCCAGGCATCTCTCCCCTGAGGCTTCCAAACAATTACCCTGAACTGTTTAAGGGTCCTGGGAAGAGAGGTCCTGAACTCTCTCTTCCCTGCCAGCTGCAGCACTTCTGCTCTGCACAAGGAGCACTTCAGGAGAGGGTCAAAGCAGCCAAGTGGCCAACCAGGTGGTGAATTTGTGGCTGGTAGCGCTGAACTTGCATTTTTTCCAGTTTTAGGAAAAGAGGGCAGTAGGCCCTGTCCACTCTGGAGGTCTAGGGGTGTAGCCCTTTGGGAAGGGCTGTTGGAAAGGTCCCCAGGCCAACTGTCTCCAAAAGATGAGGCCAAGCAGTGTGCAAAAGGGCAAATACCATCCTTCCTCTACCATGAAGGGCAGACAGGGCCACAGCCCGATGGAGACGGGTAATGGAGCTGGGGTCGAAATCTGCCCAGTGACCCCAACTCTCAACCAAGCAGGGTCCGGGGTGCATCCCCGGGGAGGGCAGCCTGCTGACACTCCTGCTCTCCCGAGACGTTCATCACGGGCTGGCTGGGGAAGGGCTCGAGTAGGGTCTCCACGGCGCCGGCGGGGGTCTGGGGCCCCAAGGCCCGGGCTGCAGGGCCAAGCAGGTGCGCAGGCCCCGGGCAGGCAACGCGCGAGGGACGAGCCCAGACGGGTGGGGTCCCCCCCGGTGCTGCCGCGTGCGACCCGGGGGCGGGGCGCCCGCCTTCCCCCCGGCTGCCGGGCCTCACGTTGTCGATGACCACGGGCTGGTTGGCGATGATGTCGTAGGACTCCATGGCGGGGCCGGGCCGGCCCTGCCCAGCAGGCAGGCTGCAGGAGAGACCGGCGGACCGGCGGGCGGGCGGGCGGGCAGACCGGACCACTGAGGCTCCAGAGCGCCACCGCGCCCCTCCCACCGGAGCGCGCAGCCTACAAGGGCCTCTCTGGAGGGCGCGCCCCGCGGCCAATCGCCGCTTCCACCCGGACCGATCGATTGCTCAAGCCCGGGGACGGTAGCGAGCAAAGGGGCTGGGTCGCGGAGCGCTGGCCAGCCAATTGGGTTAGCTAAGAAGACCTGCCGGGCGCTTCCAAGGTAGGCTGCGCCGTGCGGGGATGACGTCATGGCCTCGCTCTTAAAGGGAACACGGGTGCAGTCGGGCCGGCTCGAGGTCATCTGTCCTGGAGGATGTCTTCCTGACCCTCAGCACCTCGAACCACCCTCCTTCGTGATCGCACAGTCCCCAAGGAGGCCGCACTCGCTATTTCACCCAAAGTATTTATTGAACACTGAGGAGGATCCTTTTCCTTGTAACAATTACAATTTAGTGGTAACTTGGTAACTTGGTAGCTGGCGTTCATCCAGCACCTACTCTGGTGCTTGTGGAGCTCTTCCACCCACTTTATGTAGATTATATTAAATTGGGCAATAACTCTACCGGGTAATTTATTACTATTCCCGTTTTACAGATGTGGACACCGAGAAGCCTGTCCAACTTTATGGAGGAGCATTTGGGCAGCTTCCAGCTTTGCTGGCGTCAAAGGCTCTAACAGCCTGAACTCACCTTCCAGACTGAGCCATAGTAATTTGCCATCATGCAGAAAAGTGCAGAAATCATAAGTCTATTTATTACAGCGTGGACACACATGAACTACCACTGAGCTTAAAAACCAGCATGACCAGCACTTCAGCGGCCCACCACCGCTCTCAGTCACTGCACTGTTTTTCCTCCCAGGTGACCACCCCCGTGAATTTAACCCCACAGGCTAATTCTGCCTATTTCAGAACTTAATGCAAATGGAATCATAGGTATGTATTCATTTGTATTTCTATTTTATGCATTCATAAAAATGGGTCGATGTGCAGTCGTTTAAGTTAATAAGGGAGTTCTGTATGATCTGATACAAAACACATGAGGACATATCGTTAAATCAAAGCAAAGAAAGCCAGACACAGTGTTCAGAATGGCTTTTTTAAAAAATCAGGGACCTTCAAGACTCTAATAGGAGAAAGGGAACATCGGTAGGCGTGAGTGAATGAGGGGAGAATTCTTTTTACAATGTAAACTTTTGTATTGAATTGTTTTTAATTTATGTATATATAGTGTTTTTTCTCATTTTTTATTGTGCTAAAATACACATAACATATAATTTACCATCTTAACCACTTTAAGTGTACAGTTCAGTGGTATTAAAAAGCATTCATAATGCTGTGCTATCATTACCACCATCCATCTCCAGAATTCTCTCATCTTGTAAAACTGAAACTCTGTACCCATTAAACACTAAGTCCCCAATTCCCCCTCTCCCAGCCCCCGGCAGCCACCATTCTACTTTCTGTTTCTATGAATTGACTAAATATTTTGAAACCTCTGTACTGTTTTCCATAGCAGCACCACTAACAATGCACAAGGGTTCCAGTTTCTCCAAATCCTCACCAACACTTGTTGTTGTTATTATGTGTATTTCTTACAGCAGCCATCCTATTGGGTATGAGGTGGTAGCTGGTATCTCACCATAGTTTTGATTTGCATTTCTCTAATGATTCATGATGCTGAGTTTCTTTTCCTGTGCTTATTGTTCATTGGTATGCGTTCTTTGGAGATATGTCTATTCAAGTCCTTTGCCCATTTTTGAATTGCTTTCTTTTTGTTGTTGTTGTTGATTTTTAGGAATTCTCTATATATTCTGGATGTTAATCCCTTATCAGATATACAATTTGCAAATATTTTTTCCCTTTCTGTGGGTTGCCTTTTTACTCTATTAATAGTGTCTTCTGATGCACAAATTTTCAAAGTTTTCATTGTCTAACTTGTCTATTTTTTCTTTTGTTGCTTCTGCCTTTGATGTTGTATCTGAGACACCAAATCCAATGTCCAGGAGCTTTTGCCCAAGTTTTCTTCTAAGAACTTTATTGTTCTAGTTCTTATATTTAGGTCTTTAACCCATTTGAGTTCATTTGTATAGATGGTGTTAGGTAAGGGTCCAACTTATTTCTTTTGCACATAAATATTCAGTTTTCCCAGCACTGTTTGTTGAAAAGACTGTCTTTTCTTCTTTAAATGGTTTTGTCACCCCCATCAAAGATCCTTTATTTGTATATGTGACGGCTCTCTATTTTATTCCATTGGTCTATATGTCTGTCTTTATATTACTTTAGAAATGAAATAAACTGCTGAAGTGAAAAGGTGTCTGCCTAGCAAACATTTAGAAAAGAAGGCTAGGCCCTGGCTGTGAAGAAATTCCATGAACACTAGGCAGCAGGGACAACAGTGTTTGGGGGATGAGGAGTAGCTGAAAAAGGGCCCCAAAAGTACGTGTTGTTGAAGGCTCTGGAGCAAACCCAGCTACAGAGGCAGGAGGGCAGGCTTGTCAACTATCCTATGAGATAACTAGAAAGAGAAAGAGCTCAGAAACCTTATTTTGGAGCGAGAAAGAAACAGAGAGAGAGGAAGAGAGGAAGGCGGGTAAGAGAATGCTAGCGTGAGAGAGAATCCCTCAAACCCAAAGGGCCAGCCACTTCCTCCCGCCCCTTTGAGCCACCCTCTCACCCTCCCCCAGACAGCATCTTTTCTCACCTGAACAGCACCCTAGCACTTAGATTCCTTTGATTTTTTCAGTCTCAGTAACTTACTTACACCCACTTTACTAAAGAAGATTGTTGGCCCCCTTCGGGAAGGATTATAGCTGTCGAAAAGACTCCTCTGGTTGACGGGGCCCAAATTCATGATCCGAGTTTAGCAGCCCGTGTTTACCAGGGGCTTCTCACTCATGCTGCATTTCAGGGAAAAGCCACCGAGCGGGCTGCTAAGCCTCCTGCATTGTGTTCCTCCTGGTTAAGACAGCCCTGATATTTTGGAATTCCTGGTATATTTTGACAAATGCATTGAGACCAGCCCTGTCCAGTTGGAGCTGTGCAGACCAAACGCATCAATGTAGGTAAGTTCTTATCACATACAGAGAAACCCAGAGGGTGGGATCTTTGGGGACGTTCCTGAGAGACCCCAAAAGAAAGACAGATGACGGAATGCTGTGCCTGATGCCACTTCCTCTTGGTTATGCTAATGGTGTGAGTTTTGTGTTGTTTTATATGTTCTTTTCTGTTCTATTCTTACTTTTTTGAAGATATTTTAGAGAAATAAGACTTATGCTATTGTCATTATCTAATGTTATATGAATTGTGTTCCACCTCCCACCCCTTAATTTATACGTTGAAGTCCTAATCCTCAGTATCTCATATTGTGGATTTATTTGGCATGTCTTTACAGAGGTAACTAAGATTAAATGGGGCCATTAGGATGGGCCTTAATCCAATATGACCAATGTCCTTATAAGGAAAGGAACTTTGCGTGTGGAGGGAAGACACTCTGAAGACGCAGGGAGAAGATGGCCACCTACAAGCCAAGGAGAGAGATCTCAGAAAGAACCAACCCACCTGACACCTTGATCTTGGACTTCTGGCCTCCAGAAATGTGAGACAATAGATTTTTGCTGTTTCAGCACCCCCCATCCCCCGGTATTTTGTTACAGCAGCCCCAGCAAAGGAATACACCTGAGCTACTCAGAACTCAGCTATATAACTTTTTGTGCAACTTTTTGCCCCCAAAGATTTATTCTGTTCCCCTACTGCATACAGTGTGCGAACAGGAGGCCTAAAGGGCAGTGACAGCTATATAATTTGTGGGACCCAAGCAAAATCAAAATGCAGTAAAAAATGCTAAAATATAAAGATTTTTCCTTTGAAAGTAGTTTAATACTTATAAAACATAATAGGGAAGCCCTCTCTGGGAAGCTTAGTTGGTCAGAACATTGTCTTGATATGCTAGGGTTTCGGTTTGATCCCTGGTCAGGGTGCATACAAGAATCAAACAATGTGAATACATAAATGAGGGGAAGAACAAATTGATGTTTCTCTCTCTCTCTCTCTCTCTCAAATCAATAATTAAAAATTTGAAAAATATATAGGGGAAATAGCGATACATGAGAGACATTAACTTACGCTTTTGTTTATAATATTTTTGGTATTATAATTTTATGTAATACAATAATTAACAGTGCCTAATGTGATATCTTGATTTATCCTAAGCTTTTACTGGCTAATCTGGCCACTTTCAATTCACTTAAGCTGATTTAGTAGTTTTCGTCCCTCGCAACCTACCACCTTCAGGCTATAGAGCGTACAGGAGAAGGGAAAGCACTGGACAGCCATCCCTCTGGTCCCTGTCTAAGGAATCAGACCCTCCCTCCTTTGTGCTGTAGAACTGCCCCACCTATCCCTGGTGTGACTTCACAGACCGTAAAGTTCCACAGTATCCTAGAGTTCAAGGCTGTTCCAGCTGAGGATTTTTAGATATTTGCTTCTAGTGGTTTATAGACCATGGCAAAGATGAGAGGAATAGAGATCCTCTTCTTTATTCTCTTTTTGGACTGTTGGCATGCTGCGGAGCTCCACCACCCTTCCCACCTGATCAAAGGTACTGAAACAAGTGTATTGTTGTGGCAGATAGAGAAGTGGGAGACTCACCTTGAGCCTAAATCAGGCAGGAGATGGTGGTCATCTCTTGCAAGTTCGGAAGTGGTGAACACAGGGCTTCTCCCACCCTCTACCTTCTTCACGTCCCTGAATTTACCATAGTGATTTCTTGCTTAGGAGAAGGGAGTAACTTTACATTTTTCCTACTTTGAACCTTTCCCAAAATTCAGGGATCCACAAGAGGGTAGCATACGTGCACATTTTAACTTTTCATTATAAAAATTTTCAAGTATACATAAAAGTGGAAAGATAAGTATAATATGCTAATCACATGTGCTAATCAGGCCAATCTTGCTTTATCTGTCCCTTCATATACACACATTATATTAAATAACAGCTTGAGATGTTTGCAGGTAACATAAAGTTCACCCTCATAAAGTTTATGATCTAGCAGTTTTTAGTATAAAGAGTTGTGAATCACCATTATCTAATTTTAGAACATTTTCATCATCTCAAAAAGTACTGTCATATTCACTAACTGTCAGTCCCTGAGTCCCCTTTCCCAAGGCCTCTGGCAACCACTGTCTCCTCTATAGACTTGTGTACTCTGAATATTTCACATATAGAATCATGTAATACATGGTCTTTTGTGATTGGTTTCTTTAACAGGTTTTCAAAATTTTTATGATTCAATAATATTCAATTGTATGGATATTTTGTTAATCCATTGATCAGTTGATGGGTGTTTGCATTGTTTCTGCTTTTGACAATTTGACTGATGCTATTATGAACATAGCTATTCCAAGTGAACATCATATTTCCCTGCTCTTTTGTTATTTACTGAATTTATTGGCTGACTACATTCTGGGAAATTCTCTTGATGTAAAACCCATCAGATCTGGGGAGAAAGCAGAAGTAGACACAGTCCTGGTGATGGAGGAATCACAGTATTGTCCTCCAAAAATTAAGTAGACCGAGGTCATAAACCAGCGTCATATGTCATGGAGGGCAGTGAGTACATTATGTGAGCTGTCAGGTCAGGGGTGACAGCAGGAAAAGGGGAGGTGACTACTCTAGTCAGGGCACTTAAAAAAAAAAAACGGTTTTAGTGAACATATATTTTACTGCATGGTTTTACTTATACTGTCATTGTAATAATTGTTAATGATTCACTAATACTGCAGTGAAAGAAAACATTTTTTCCTTCATTTACCAAAAACACAATATACCTGAAAGAAATGTCCATGTCCCTTGAACAAATCTGATTCAATTATCCTGAAGAGCTGAAAGCTGCCACGTGCACAAATTGCTCAATGGCTATGCATATTGTCTGCCAGGGTACCAGACGACAGTCCACACCATCACTGGTTTTGAGTTAAAGGTCACATCCACAGACACTCATGACAGCTCCGTGGCACTCAGGGTGGGTGGGTGGTGTGGCCTTAACAACCCTCCCTTAGGGGATCAGTTTCCTCTTGGTGGTTTGCCCACTAACCTGGGGCCAGAAAAAAGGGCTGACCATGACCTTGAATCACAGAGATGTGTCTGGACGCTGCGATATCACGACCTCCATGAAGAAAAGCCTGAAAGTACAGTTCAAAATCTCCACGGGGTGCTATAGTTCTTTAGCCCAGTTGATTCGTGTCCTTGATGTAGCTACAAGAGTGTGCGTAGAAGCCTTGAAATAGGCCCCTGAAGTCCTAGAGGAGATTGTCCACCAGTCCTTCATTTTTTTTAATTTGTTAATGACAATGTCAGGGGTTTCCTGTGCTCATCACATGGGTCGGGGGTGGGGGCAGCCGAATATAGACGCACAGTGTGGATCAGGGCAGAGCACGCAGTAGTACTGTTCCCTCTCCTCCAAAACAAGAAAGCATCATATCTCCAAAGTGGTCGAAATCTCCCCTATTGGCATCATTCCTTGGACAGGGGAGTTTCTCTTCAAAAAACCTGAGGCGTAGCTGTCTGCTTGTTGCCCCCACACTGAGCACTGAGCTCTGAGCACAGCCGTGAGTCCAAACAGATAACGACACAGAGACGTGAGAAGGGGAGGGCACGTCAGCAAGTGTTATCTCCCTCCTCCTCCTCCTGTGGTTGGTGCCTTTCCCACCAGCCTCAAGGAGAAAAGTAGAACTTTGCTGCCCGAGCTCACAAGGCACTCACAGGGTGGACTGGTAGCCATTTCCAGCACTCTTTCCCCTAGAGCAGCCAATTGTATGATGCTACTCTCAAGACACTGTGCCTGGAAGTATCAATTTGAAAGATTACATGCAGATGTGATGAAAGATTTACTCACAGCTAAGGTTTATTTTCCCATAGGTTCTTCTCAACAAAAGGGCTTGAAAAATTCTAAGTTTGCATCAAGTTCACATAAGCAAGAAGAACAATTGGCTAAACTCTTTGGTAAGTTCCTTGTTCATGTGACACTGTCAGGTCATATTTGAGCCTCTTGTGCTTGTCCCTGGTCATCCCCCAGAAACCTGTATCTGCTGCTCTGATGGAAGGAAGGTGCTTTGCATGGAGCCTAGAACCCATTCTCTTTGGGTTTGTCATGTCCCGGGCAATCTACTTATGACACGGACCTGTCTTGATTCAGATTCTTCTCTAAGGCACAGGGGGTATCCTGTGGGGTCCTGGCGGGGCCATCATTGGTCTGCAGCTTGAAAATAGTCTCAAGGACTTCACAGGGTGCATGTAGTTCATTGGGTTATGGTCCACCAATGGCGATTCTCAAGTTTCTTCCATGTCACATACAGACACACCAGGCCCGCTGTGACACTATGAGCACCAGAGTTGTGGTGAATGCAGTCCACTGTCACCCAACATTTGTAGACAGGACTGACCTTCGGGGCCTCAGTAGATATCATGGTCAACATGATCCAGACTCAGCCTCAGCCAGCAGGGCCTACTTCCTGCCCCTGAAGTCTGCTCAGTCCAGCGCCTGTCTCCTGGGTGCCTGGGGCTGAGATGGTTTTCCTTTTCCTCTCTTTCCGGCCTTTGCTTGTGGCTCTGTGTGGCTGTGTCTGAGGGGTGTGTCTGGTCGTGTCTCTGTGTGTGGGCCTCTCTGGCTTGTGTCCGGATGGCTCAGGGAGGTGGTCTCTATCCCCTTGACCCTCCAGCTCCTCGTACAGTTCCGAGCAGAGCTAGGGCTCCATACAAGCTTTGTGTCAGAATGACCCACAGTCTTCTATTCTGCCCCAACCTACACGGGTGCTGTGATTTTTGGGAACTTATGCTTGGGTCCTCCCCACAATAATGGGCCATCATAAACAAGGGGCCACGATTGACCTCAGTGAGGGACATCTGGGTGTTGCCATATGCATTGTGCCAGTTAAGAATGCACTAGGCCCTGGTCAGGTAGCTCAGTTGGTTAAAGCCTGGTACTGTACACCAAAAGGTTGTAGGTTTGAGTCTTTGTTTGGACACATGCAAGTATCAACCAATGAGTGCATAAATAAGTGGAACAACAAATTGATGTTCCTCTCTCTTCTTCTCTAAAAATACTTTAAAATAATTACAAAAAAATAATAATAATGTACCTGGCTTCAATTCCTGGAAGACCCGAGGTTGGTGGCTTAAACAGAAAGTCGTTAATTTTCCATCTGTCACAGGTAGCAGAGGGAGGCAACCAATGTTTTGGCGCAGTGCTCAGTGACCTCAGGCCAGGGTGTGTTTCTCTGAGATCATCAGGGCCTTCCCTGGTGCTTATGTCTCTTGGTCATAAGATGGCTTCTGCGGCTCCAGACATCACATCCACTTTCAAGGCAGGAGGTAAAAGGGTTGGGGAAGTGCAGCACCAGCACTACTTTCTCTTCCCTCTTGGAGGAGCAAGATTCTCCAAGGGCCCGCAGAGTCTTCAGGGTACCTTTGCAGTCCCAGACCCTCCCCTGGCTGCCTGGGGTGTGGGGTGGGTAGAAAGGACGAGTCTCTCCATGGGCTGGCCCCTGAGGCTCCGAGCACAGGCAGGCATGGAAGGAGGCAAGCAAGCATGGCTGGCTGGAAGGCCACAGAGTCTATGGCAGATATTTCCCTGTTTCCATATGATAATTACATCTTGGTTTCCTTTGTGTTTTGTTTTTTTTTCTTCCTCACCCACGTATTATTCCACTTGCGCTGGGTCCAAAGAGCAGAAAACAAGTGATATTACAAGCTGATCTGGGGTTATTGTAATAAATGAGGTGATGAGCAGCAGTTTCCAAATGCTTAGCTTTTAGCATGATCTGCACACAGGCTCTGAGCTAAGTGCTTTCCTATACATCGTTTTATTCAATTTTCACGTAAGTTCTGAGTGAAATAATCGTGTTCTCCTTCTACCCATGAGCACTCCCGAGATCAAGAGGTGGAGTTAGTGACCCAAGATCTCATTTTGGTACATGGTAAAGTCAGGATTTGGTCTGCCACAAAGGCAGGGCTCTCCCTGCGAGCAGCTTCATAGGAGAGGCAGTCGGTCTCTCCATGGAAGAAAGTGATGTGCTGCTTGTGGAAACAGGACAGAGGTTTGTTCCTAGAGAGGGACAGCTTGGGGACGGCCTCAGAGGTGAGGAGGAATGACAACAGGAGGGAGAAGAAAATTTATGACATTAAGTATCATGAGGTTTGAAGCAAAATTTCTATAGTGGGTCTATAATGTTTCCTGTCTGGGATAGCTAGTGAAATCACAACTTTCAGAAGTGATTTTGATGGATGGAGTTTCTCTGCTCAAGACAAAGCATTTTAGAATATGATGGTAAGTATTTAATAAATGATACCTTTGTATCTCTGACTCACTGTATTCCTAGACTGCTTTAGTACTTGCAGAGCAAAAAGTGTCAATCCTGCATTGCTTATATTAATGTGCCTTTCTTTGCTTTCCTTGAGATGACATTCTCCTGCAAGTGTATCCCAGTGTTCCGTCTGATGAGGCAAGAAAAGCAGAAAAATCATTTACAAAGAGTGCCATGAAAGAAAGCAAGTATATGTTTTTAAACCTATAAGTGCACATATTCCTTTTTTAAGGTATATTTTATTGATTATGCTATTACAGTTGTCCCATTTTTTTCTTCCTTTTATCCCCTTCCGCCCTGCACTCTGCCCCCCCTCGCCATCAGTATTCCTTCCCCTTAGTCATGTCTGCGGGTCATGCATATAAGTTCTTTGGCTTCTCCATTTCCTATACTACTCTTAACTTCCCCCTGTCTATTTTGTACCTACCAATTATGCTTCTTATTCCCTGTACCTTTTCCCCTATTCTCCCCCTTCCCCTCCCCACTGTTAACTCTCTATGTGATCTCCATTTCTGTGATTCTGTTCCTGTTCTAGTTGTTTGTTTACTTTGTTTTTGTTTTTTAGGTTCAGTTGTTGATAATTGTGAGTATGTTGTCTTTTTAATGTTCATAGTTTTGATCTTCTTTTTCTCAGATAAGTCCCTTTAACATTTCATGTAATAAGGGCTTGGTGATGATGAACTCCTTTGACTTTACCTTATCTGGGAAGCACTTTATCTGCCCTTCCATTCTGAATGATAGCTTTGCTGGGGACAGTAATCTTGGATGTAGGTCCTTGCCTTTCATGACTTTGAATACTTCTTTCCAGGCCCTTCTTGCTTGCAAGCTTTCTTTTGAGAAATCAGCAGATAGTCTTATGGGAACTCCTTTGGAGGTAACTCTCTCCTTTGCTCTTGCTGCTTTTAAGATTCCCTCCTTATTTTTGATCTTGAGTAATGTAATTATGATATGTCTTGGTGTGTTCTTCCTTCAGTCCACCTTCTTTGGGACTCTCCAAGCTACGTGGATCTCCTGGTAGCCTATTTCCTTTGCCAGACTGGAGAAGTTTTCCCTCACTATTTTTTCAAATAAGTCTTCAATTTCTTGCTCTTCCTCTTCTCCTTCTTGTACCCCTATGATTCAGATGTTGGTATGTTTAAAGCTGTCCTAGAGGTTCCTAAGCCTCTCCTCATTTTTTCAAATTCTTGTTTCCTCATTCTGTTCTGGATGAATGTTTGTTTCTCCCTTTTGTTCCAAATCATTGATCTGAGTCCTGGTTTCCTTCCCTTCACTGTTGGTTCCCTGTCTATTTTGCTTTATATCACTTCTTCCTTTGTTTTGTGACCATACGCAGTCATTTCTTTGAGCATCCTGACTACCAGTGTTTTGAACTTTGCATCTGATAGGTTGGCTATGTCCTTGTTGCTTAGTTATTTTCTGGAGTTTTGATCTGTTCTTTCATTTGGGCCGTATTTCTTTTTCTCGGTGCACCTGTTGCAGTGGAAGGGGCAGAGCCTTAGGTTTTCACCAGGGCAGGGCAAACCCCTCCGCTGCATTGTGGCGCTGTATGTAGGGGAGGGGTCAGAGCAGGAACAATGCTCCTTACTTTGCTCTTATGCCACTTTCAGTCACTTCCTCTACTCCCCACAAGCGGATTGTGCCCTTTCTGGTGCTGATTTTGAGTGGGTCAGCTTTCGTATGTTCTAGGATCCCATGGTCCCCTCCAATGGACTCTCCTGTGAGACTGGCAGTTTCTCCCACTGCTGCAACCCCCATAGGTGTTTACAGCCAGAGGTTTTGAGGCTTCCTTTTCCCCTGCTGGAACCCTGGGTTGTGCAGTCTGTGTCTTTTTCCAGCTGTTCCTCCTGGTTTATCCACATGCGAATGTGGGACCGCCTGGTCCTCCAGCTGCCACCTTGCCACACATCCTCTCCACACTCACTGCCTGTCACTGTCACTCCTACCAGTCTGGGTGAATGTTTCTTTTTCAACTCCTGGCTTGTTAGACTGCCATATAGTTCAATTTTCTGGTAGTTATGGTGGTTCTTTTTGTTTTTATTTATTTTTAAAAGATTTTTTAAAATTTATTTTTAGAGAGCGGGAAGGGAGGGAGAGAAACATCAGTGTGTGGTTGCCTCTTGTGCACCACCGCCTGGGGGCCTGGTCTGTAACCCAGGCACGTGCCCTGACTTGGAATCAAATCCGCGGCCCTTTGGTTCGCAGGCCCACACTCAATCCACTGAGCCACACTGGCCAGGGCTGTTTTATTGTTTTTAAATTGGTCGCTATCCTTCTTTTGGTTGTGTGAGAAAGTGAAGTGTATCTACTTACTCCTCCATCTTGACCAGAAGCTCATCAGTGCACATATTTCTACGAGCCTGTGTATTGTCTTATTTGCACTACCCTATCATTTTAGCATCCTTTAAACCAAGTAGTGTGGGGCAAACACAAACTGAGATGTAGAAGTGAGAATTGTTTGAAATACTCTATGGAACTCTAGGATCTACCCTGTGTTTTTGGTGATCTCTGAAATTCATGTGTCAGGTAGATTCTCTTATTCTGGAGGCTTTTCAGAGCACAGGAGCCGATTTCCAAACAGCATTCACAGTGCCTAGTATGGCTGGTAATGGATAGTTTAATGCCGTTCTATTCAAAGGTGCCTTATAGTTCAGCGTGCATGAGTGCTTGGCCACTGGCTTGGAGAGTGAAGCCTTCCTATGTCCCTCTCCATCACCTCCCTACACCCCACACTCTGGAAAAGAGTTGCACTGAGGAGCAGAGCCAATTTCTCTCTTTGCACTGAAGGGAAGCAGCCGTCATGTATGCAAACAAACAAGCCAACAAAAGTACATTAGCCCAAAAAGCAGAAGTGACAGAGACACTATGAACACTATATGCATTAGGAAAAAATTAAAATTGGGGAATTAGTTCTCAGGATAAGCAGGCATGTGTGTCATATCGAAATTATAAAACTATTAGCAAACCAATTTTATAACTAATGCCCCTGCCAATGCATTTTATAAACTACATGACTAAAACAGTGAAGATCTTGTTGTAATCAGGATGGTGTGTCTGCACAGGGTTTTATAATGCTCCCTAGGCTGACACCATATAAGCACATTTTTAGCAAGTGCTACCTTGATTAAATATATTTATTCCTTATGATTCATCAAAGACTTAAACAAGTACTGTATATTTATAATTTCTTGGATCAAACTAGTCACACTTGAAATCATTTGGCATATACCATGTAGCAGTTCTACCAATTATCATGAAGAGCTGAAAGCTGCCACGTGCACAAATTGCTCAATGGCTATGCATATTGTCTGCCAGGGTACCAGACGACAGTCCGCACCGTCACTGGTTTTGAGTTAAAGGTCACATCCACAGACACTCATGACAGCTCCGTGGCACTCAGGGTGGGTGGGTGGTGTGGCCTTAACAACCCTCCCTTAGGGGATCAGTTTCCTCTTGGTGGTTTGCCCACTAACCTGGGGCCAGAAAAAAAGGGCTGACCATGACCTTGAATCACAGAGATGTGTCTGGACGCTGCGATATCACGACCTCCATGAAGAAAAGCCTGAAAGTACAGTTCAAAATCTCCACGGGGTGCTATAGTTCTTTAGCCCAGTTGATTCGTGTCCTTGATGTAGCTACAAGAGTGTGCGTAGAAGCCTTGAAATAGGCCCCTGAAGTCCTAGAGGAGATTGTCCACCAGTCCTTCATTTTTTTAATTTGTTAATGACAATGTCAGGGGTTTCCTGTGCTCATCACATGGGTCGGGGGTGGGGGCAGCCGAATATAGACGCACAGTGTGGATCAGGGCAGAGCACGCAGTAGTACTGTTCCCTCTCCTCCAAAACAAGAAAGCATCATATCTCCAAAGTGGTCGAAATCTCCCCTATTGGCATCATTCCTTGGACAGGGGAGTTTCTCTTCAAAAAACCTGAGGCGTAGCTGTCTGCTTGTTGCCCCCACACTGAGCACTGAGCTCTGAGCACAGCCATGAGTCCAAACAGATAACGACGCAGAGACGTGAGAAGGGGAGGGCACATCAGCAAGTGTTATCTCCCTCCTCCTCCTCCTGTGGTTGGTGCCTTTCCCACCAGCCTCAAGGAGAAAAGTAGAACTTTGCTGCCCGAGCTCACAAGGCACTCACAGGGTGGACTGGTAGCCATTTCCAGCACTCTTTCCCCTAGAGCAGCCAATTGTATGATGCTACTCTCAAGACACTGTGCCTGGAAGTATCAATTTGAAAGATTACATGCAGATGTGATGAAAGATTTACTCACAGCTAAGGTTTATTTTCCCATAGGTTCTTCTCAACAAAAGGGCTTGAAAAATTCTAAGTTTGCATCAAGTTCACATAAGCAAGAAGAACAATTGGCTAAACTCTTTGGTAAGTTCCTTGTTCATGTGACACTGTCAGGTCATATTTGAGCCTCTTGTGCTTGTCCCTGGTCATCCCCCAGAAACCTGTATCTGCTGCTCTGATGGAAGGAAGGTGCTTTGCATGGAGCCTAGAATCTATCCTCTAGGTTTTAGAGTCCCAAGAACTTATCCAAAGCATAGAAGATTAACACGCAGAAAATATTCTTCTCCTCACAGGGGGGTCCATGTGGCAGCAGCAGGGCCACTCACTGGGAGGTGTTGGAGGTACAGCGCCAGACCCCCTGGAAACCAGCTGTATCACTTCTGCCTGGACAGATGCCCAGGTGATTCTGCATGTGATACAAATGGTGAAGCCCTGAGGCTGAGATAGACCTTCAGCCCAGGTCCTCAGCCCTAACTGAGCACACGCATCCCCTGGGAGATTGTTAAAAAGAGAAATCCAGACCCACCTCAGCCATCAGGTACCTTGGGGTGCGGTGAAATCTTCACATGAGTCGTTTTGAAAAGTGAGTCTTGGTTGGGACTCATCAATCTACTCCAAACCTCCCATTAATACTTGAGAGTAACTAAGGCCAGGGAGTCTTTCCCTCCCTCCCTCCCTCCCTCCCTCTCTCCCTTCCTCCTTTCCTTCCTTCCTTCCTTCCCTAGGTAAATCTACACTAACTACCCAGCAGATTGACGGGTAGGTGACCATGCCTGAGTGAATGAATGGCTGCCGCCAGCTCTTGCAGTCCCACTGCCTGTGCTTTCAGGGGCTCCCGTCTAGGGGTGAGAAGACACTCTCACTTTCACAGGTGCCCCTAGTCCACACGTCAGGAAGGGGAGTTTGTGCATCCGAAGAGGGGAGTCTGATTCTGGATTTGGGAGGATCCCTTCACGCCCAGGGCCTACTGAGCCATGCCAGCATCAGCTTTGGCGTTGGTGGGCTGCCAGTGACCTTGCCCGGTTCTCTCTGAGCAGCAATTCAGGAACTTGTAGGTCAACTGAGACCTCATCATTTTGAATGAGTGAATGCAGTGGTCAACTTTTTGTGTCCTTATTGTAAGCACCTACCCACCAGGTAAGTAGATCATTCACCAATGTACCAACAGCCCTTGAAAAAGGACTCAGAATAAATATCCAATCAATGTGGCTTAGCAAAGTAAACCTAAGAGGAGAACTTGAAATGGTTGTTTCTAGTGACAGGCAGAAACTGGAATGCTTTAAAATGGCGATACCCAACCTTTTTGACACCTGGGACCAGTTTCGTGGAAGACAGTTTTTCCATGGACCAGGGTCGGGGAGAAGGTTTTGGGATGATTCAAGCACGTTACATTCAAGCTCACCTCCTACTGTATGGCCCGGTTCCTGACAGGCCTCGACTGGTACTGGTCTGTGGCCTGGATGTTGGGGACCCCTGCTTTAAAAGAGGAGAAATTAATATATTTCAAAAAATGTAACTATGAAACAGTAGTAATATTATAAATGAACAGTTTTCTGAGCTTATTCAATCTGTTACTCTTTACCCCCAACCCCCACTTCCACCCGATTTTTCTTGGTACAATTTTTATAAACATATTTATAAATAAATTTGAAACCTCTGAGGACAGCCTTGCCCTTTGGGTTTGTCATGACCTGTTGTGACACGGACCTGTCTTGATTCAGATTCTTCTCTAAGGCACAGGGGGTATCCTGTGGGGTCCTGGCGGGGCCATCATTGGTCTGCAGCTTGAAAATAGTCTCAAGGACTTCACAGGGTGCATGTAGTTCATTGGGTTATGGTCCACCAATGGCGATTCTCAAGTTTCTTCCATGTCACATACAGACACACCAGGCCCGCTGTGACACTATGAGCACCAGAGTTGTGGTGAATGCAGTCCACTGTCACCCAACATTTGTAGACAGGACTGACCTTCGGGGCCTCAGTAGATATCATGGTCAACATGATCCAGACTCAGCCTCAGCCAGCAGGGCCTACTTCCTGCCCCTGAAGTCTGCTCAGTCCAGCGCCTGTCTCCTGGGTGCCTGGGGCTGAGATGGTTTTCCTTTTCCTCTCTGCTCCGGTCCTTGCTTGTGGCTCTGTGTGGCTGTGTCTGAGGGGTGTGTCTGGTCGTGTCTCTGTGTGTGGGCCTCTCTGGCTTGTGTCCGGATGGCTCAGGGAGGTGGTCTCCATCCCCTTGACCCTCCAGCTCCTCGTACAGTTCCGAGCAGAGCTAGGGCTCCATACAAGCTTTGTGTCAGAATGACCCACAGTCTTCTATTCTGCCCCAACCTACACGGGTGCTGTGATTTTTGGGAACTTATGCTTGGGTCCTCCCCACAATAATGGGCCATCATAAACAAGGGGCCACGATTGACCTCAGTGAGGGACATCTGGGTGTTGCCATATGCATTGTGCCAGTTAAGAATGCACTAGGCCCTGGTCAGGTAGCTCAGTTGGTTAAAGCCTGGTACTGTACACCAAAAGGTTGTAGGTTTGAGTCTTTGTTTGGACACATGCAAGTATCAACCAATGAGTGCATAAATAAGTGGAACAACAAATTGATGTTCCTCTCTCTTCTTCTCTAAAAATACTTTAAAATAATTACAAAAAAATAATAATAATGTACCTGGCTTCAATTCCTGGAAGACCCGAGGTTGGTGGCTTAAACAGAAAGTCGTTAATTTTCCATCTGTCACAGGTAGCAGAGGGAGGCAACCAATGTTTTGGCGCAGTGCTCAGTGACCTCAGGCCAGGGTGTGTTTCTCTGAGATCATCAGGGCCTTCCCTGGTGCTTATGTCTCTTGGTCATAAGATGGCTTCTGCGGCTCCAGACATCACATCCACTTTCAAGGCAGGAGGTAAAAGGGTTGGGGAAGTGCAGCACCAGCACTACTTTCTCTTCCCTCTTGGAGGAGCAAGATTCTCCAAGGGCCCGCAGAGTCTTCAGGGTACCTTTGCAGTCCCAGACCCCTCCCCTGGCTGCCTGGGGTGTGGGGTGGGTAGAAAGGACGAGTCTCTCCACGGGCTGGCCCCTGAGGCTCCAAGCACAGGCAGGCATGGAAGGAGGCAAGCAAGCATGGCTGGCTGGAAGGCCACAGAGTCTATGGCAGATATTTCCCTGTTTCCATATGATAATTACATCTTGGTTTCCTTTGTGTTTTGTTTTTTTTCTTCCTCACCCACGTATTATTCCACTTGCGCTGGGTCCAAAGAGCAGAAAACAAGTGATATTACAAGCTGATCTGGGGTTATTGTAATAAATGAGGTGATGAGCAGCAGTTTCCAAATGCTTAGCTTTTAGCATGATCTGCACACAGGCTCTGAGCTAAGTGCTTTCCTATACATCGTTTTATTCAATTTTCACGTAAGTTCTGAGTGAAATAATCGTGTTCTCCTTCTACCCATGAGCACTCCCGAGATCAAGAGGTGGAGTTAGTGACCCAAGATCTCATTTTGGTACATGGTAAAGTCAGGATTTGGTCTGCCACAAAGGCAGGGCTCTCCCTGCGAGCAGCTTCATAGGAGAGGCAGTCGGTCTCTCCATGGAAGAAAGTGATGTGCTGCTTGTGGAAACAGGACAGAGGTTTGTTCCTAGAGAGGGACAGCTTGGGGACGGCCTCAGAGGTGAGGAGGAATGACAACAGGAGGGAGAAGAAAATTTATGACATTAAGTATCATGAGGTTTGAAGCAAAATTTCTATAGTGGGTCTATAATGTTTCCTGTCTGGGATAGCTAGTGAAATCACAACTTTCAGAAGTGATTTTGATGGATGGAGTTTCTCTGCTCAAGACAAGGCATTTTAGGGTATGACAATTAGTATTCAATATATGATACCCAGCAAGAACCAGTAAAGTAGAGTCCAGGGTTCTGCACATTTTTACCTATTCCCTGAGTAACTTGTCTACAGTCAGCCAGATAACACCCCTTGGATTTTAACTTATATGGTTTCCTGCAGGAAGAACCAAGACAAAAGATGTTTGTTTGTTTTTTTTAAATCACAATTAGTTTAGAACCTTCATCTTTTCTTTGCAAGCATTATTTTCAAATCAATTCATTGTTGTGTTTAGGGCTGTTCCACCTTTAATTGGTACTCATTCTTCTAGTTCATATGCTGAAACAACCATAAGACGAATCCTAAAAATATCTGTGTGTTCAGTAGACTGTGTGTCCCAGGACTGAGGAGGTAGGGTCTAATATGTAATAGGTGTGCTTTTTTTTTTTTACTCATTCAGTAGTACTATTTGCTGAATGAGTAAACATGTGATGAATGGGTGGTACATCCTGTGTAACAATAATGACTATTATAAGGATAAAATTAAAATACACTGAGCACTTCCCATGTACCAGACACAGGAGTTTCTCAACTACATTATTTTCTTTCCACAACAGTCCTGTGTGTGTGGCATTATGGTTACACCCCCATTTTACATATAGAGGCACTGAGGTTAAGTGACTTGTGTCAGGTCAAGCTGCTGGTATTTGACCTCGCGATGCCTGTAGGAGACACCAGTTATGTTTGCGTGACATGTCCATTTTAAGGACTCATTGTACCCCTTCCTTAGTAACAGCGAGCATTAAAAAAAGATTGAAAGGGCTGGATATGAAGACAGTGAGGACATTATCCTTCTGAGAAGTAAAGTGTCCTGTCAAAGGTGTGCCCAGGTCTGTGAAGGGAAGCTCCTCCTCAGTTAACAGGGAGTAATAAGGCGCTGTTCACATATAATGAGAGGCTTGTTTCAATGTTAGAATCTCCTACACGTATTTTAAAAAATACACAGAGAAATTATGAAGACGTAAGACTTCAACTTTTCCTTGAGCACAAAGCCAGAATTTCTTGGTTCTGGGCTCATTTAGGATAAAAGCACCAGGCCCAGGACGTGACCGGTGATTTAGACCAAGTCTGCGTCATGAAAACCCCAGGGACTTGACTGCGCTTGCTCTCGACAGGGGCTGCTGCTGTCCCAGTCAGTGGTTTTTCTAAAGTTGAGATGAAGTTTGGAAATTGACTGCATTTGGCAAAACTTGATAAACATGCTTATTTTTTTCACAAAAAATAATTCAACAGATGATCAAAATCATAACCCATCACACATGGAAAACATCCTTCAAACTTTCCACAGAACCTTAGGTAAATGAAAACTTATGACCATATTGATGATATGTATGGATAGTCTCAGCAAAGTGGTAAGGGGGTCTTATGTTTTGGTGGTGCAGAGACCAGGAAAATAAACATTTGTGTTCAAGTTATAAGTCCACCTTTTTTACAGCTCCATGAAAAAATAAGGCAAACCCAGCCCTCTCGTGGGCCAATTCCATGTTATCCAGAGTTTTCTTCCGGTGATGGTTAACCGCTCAACTCTGATTTGACAAGCTGGCATTTTGGTCAAGTAATTATGAGTCATTATGATGGGACTTTTCTCTCTTTTCCAGGCCAAACTGAATAAGGAACAAGTTTCTCTATTTCTGGAGAAATAACTAAGATCTCACAAGGCTGTTATCACCACCCCTTCCCCTACAACAATCTTAACCAAGTTGTCTCATTCCTACCCCTTTGTGAACTAGGTCAAAGTAGGCAGACTTACAGAGCTCATTCCAAAGCTGCCCCCAGGCATGAGGCTGACAGAGATCTCCCATCTGGGATTGGGGTGAGGGTGGGGGCACTGCAGCCTGGCTTGGAGTCTCCTCAGGGCATGGCTTCAATACTTTTCACCCTTCCCCATTGTCCTTATGACAGCCCTACTTTCTAACTGTAAATGGTCTAAACAGGTGAGTTGCTGGAGCTCATACCCAGTGGTTCTAGTTTGCTCCTGGAACTTACCAGAAACTCTCTTAGCCCTCTTCTAGGACCATTTCTGTGTTAGCAAAGACAGTTTTCTGGCGGCGAAGTTTTCTCCATGCTAAACTCACTCAGGCTCTCTGACTGGTCCTGTATGCAAATGAGCCAAAGACAACAATTGTGGAGTTAGAATGCAAATATATATTTTAAAAGATTTTATTTATTTAATTTTATTTTTTAGAGCAGGAAAGGGAAGGAGGAAGAGAGGGAGAGAAACATCAATGTGTGGCTGTCTCTTGAGTGCCCTCTACTGGGGACCTGGCCCTCAACCCAGGCATGTGCCCTGACTGGGAATTGAACTGGCGACCCTTTGGTTTGCAGGCCGGCACTCAATCCACTGAGCCACACCAGCCAGGGCAGGATGCAAATATTTTTGATCTTCAGGCCTGTCTCCTTCTCCTAAACCATTCTGTAGTCCCTCTACCAGTAAATGAATATTTCAGTCTAGTTCATTTTCCTCTCCTGCCCTTGCAACTCAAGAAACATTTTTTATACTACTTTGTGGTTGATAAATTGTTTTCATGAACACCTTGCCGTCTGTGAGGCAGGCTTTAGCATCTCTGTTTTACACTGGTGGGCTCAGAGAGGCTCAGCGACTGGCGGGAAGGTTCTCGTTAGGCTCCTCTACGTGTGGTCCTCGACCGGCAGCATCCGTGTCACATTCTCAGACCTTCCCAGACCTGCTGACTCAGAAACTCTGGGATGGGGCCCAGCCATCTGTGTGGCTTTTTAAAAAAATTTAAAACATTTTTTAAATTACTGTTGACATTTAATAGCAATCTGTGTTTTAACAGGGCCTCCTGGTGACTGACACACACTCAAGTGTGAAAATCACCACCTCAGTCTACTTGCAGGTCACCAAGGAATTTGCTAAATTAAAAAATAAACAAAAACAAAACTTTGATGTACTTTTGGATGAACACATTTAAATGAACACATTTTGCTTTTTGTCTCTGTAGGTCACATTTTGGAGGAGGAGGGAAATAAGGAACCCTCTCTGTTCAACAGGGCTGTAAGCGAGCAGTTAAGTTCTGTAAATAAAGAAACACTTAAAGAAGTTAAGTCAGGTAATTATCTACGCAGTATGAACCTGTCTGTTTGCTTTCACGGTATTTAAAGAACTAGATGTCAACACACCTTTACTTCACCCAGAAAAGAATACAGTCTGCATGTAAAATGATGAATAAAAGTAATTTCAGGAATATGGGCACCCTTTAAAAAAGACACTACCTTTATGTTATTTCTGCACAGCCAGGGCCATTCATAACATGGGCACCATCTTGCGAGCCCTGCCAGGACTGGGCACTGAGACTTTCTAAAAACAGGAAGGGTTAGGTACCAAACATGAACCTAATCCCTGATCACCAGTTTTGGGTTGCCCGAGCCTGAGCCCATTCAGTGTGAGGGGGACTAGCCCGGCGAGACAACATGCTGGTACGAAGAACCGTATACTCCCTCCATGTAGCCACCCGCTATCACAATCATACCTGGCTGTCCCTTCCTAACTTTGAGGGGTTCAGTGCTAAATTATTCCAACAGAGGCCTTACGGTTCCCCGGTGCTGCTGCCTCCTGTGTGGTAGGGGTGCAACAGGCCCAATTTCCTCTCCGTAACCCACGAAGGCCCTGGGACAGTGCCTTTTGTCAGCATCACTAGACTCCCAACTTTCGCACTAAACCCTCTGAGTTCTGTCAGTGTACGTCTGTGTCCTATTTTCCCTGGATCCTGTTCCTTTTTTTTGTCATACTACAAATGGTGTTCCTGAGGTCAGCGGGGGTCTTCTTCTTTGAGGCCTAACTAAGATTGCCTTGTATTCCCAAGGCCACACTTGCCATTCTCAAGATTTCTGCAGGTCCCCAGAAGGCCAGAAGAGCTCAGGATCACATTTGCCTTATGTCACAACATTCCCCTACACCTGCACACACAAGGCAGACTGTGCACACGTTAGAATTTCCTGAAGCTGGGGGAATAGGAGAGGGAGGGCGACAGAGAGAGGTTCTATCACTGTCCTGGGAAAACCTTCAAAGAGTATCTGACTCCATTGTTCTTAAAAGCATGGCAGTAGGATTTTTGTCACCTCCTCTGGTGCTGCTGTCTCTTCCCTCCAGCTGAGCTCTCCTTGCTTCTCTTCACTCCCTAAAAACTGTGTTCTGTGGAACCTTCTCTTTGGTTGCTTTGCTGCTTCCCAGCTCACACCATGAGCATCTCCCCTCCACCACCAAAGAACTTACAAAAGTGTTTTCCTAAACAAAGCCAGTCCCTCTTTCCTCATAAGGTTTGGAGGTTTTTGGAGCCAACAGGTCGTCCCTGCAGATCCGTATGGGGTCAACTCTCTGCTTACTCTGCGCCTGTCTTCTCATGTAGATACTCAAAGCGGGACGGTACCCTGCAGGCAGCTGCTGCACTTCCTCCAGAGGAACATCGTCATTGCTGTTGTTGCGGTGGCAGGAATCCTCGTGATCCTAGTGGTGTTGCTGCTCATGTTGACCATGTATACCAGGAAGAAACAGGCATTGTGAGTGACTCTCAGTTCCCACCTTCCTTCCAAGAACTCATGAGTGTTTGTGCTAGTGTTGCCCAGAGCTCCCTGCTGATCCTGGATTTAGGAGGAGGCAGGGACTCAGCCTGGTAGCGCATCGGCCTACAGATAACCCTGCTGTAGGTTCTTAGGCATTGCCTTGGAGGTTCTGGTGCACAGCCAGGTTTTGGGATCTCTGGCTTGGGCCATGCTGGCCTCTAAAGGCCACGTAGATTAGGCCACACTTATTCCTGTACGAGGGCTACCGAAAGAGGAGATGGTAAAGCTCTGGTTGAAAGATCAGAAAATAGGAATGTGGATGTAGAACAGAAAGGAACGATACAGTAAGAAGGTGGGAGGGATAAGGCCAGGGAGGAGATGACAGCATTCCTACTGGAACCGCAGCACTGGTTTCAGGATATTGGTACCTTCCCCTTCCCAGAACCTTCCATAGACTTCCCAGTCTTCTCCATGATCCTGCAAATGAGGGCTAACGCCTGGTGCAGCAGTGGCCATTTGGACTGCTCAGTGCCTGTCTGTATAAGTTATGAAATACTTCGATTATTCCCCAGGATGAGAGGGCTCAGGCACAGTGGGTCTAACCATGCACAGGCACTAGAAAGCAAATCATTTACAAGATTGTGCATATACAATAAATGTACCTTGAAATGAGCTGCTTTATTCTGAATCTTTTGGGACACACATTCCTGATCAGGAAGAGCAACTCCCTGCAGCCCCCTCAGGGACTGTCAGACGCTGTACTCAGTGCTCAGCTGGCCCTGGAGTGAGGGGCTGTGGTGCAGAATGAGGGGTGAAGTGTCCATCCCCTGTCCTGCCCGCTGTCTGACTCTGAGGCTGCAGTGTTTAAATTCCCCACCAGCATGGCAGGGCTTTCCCTAAATATGTCCTTCAAAATGCCAGGGCTCCACCAGCAACCACCACCTCACAGCTAACTCCCTTCTCTGAGACAGCAATGCGAGCCCTGAAGGGGCGGGATTTAGAGACAGAAGACTGAAAGCACTGGAAATGAGTGTAACCCATTTCACTGTTCCGATGGGGGCTCGCCCATCAGATTCGCCATTCCTTCCCATGACTATTGCAGGTCTCTGAAGAGTCCAAGAGTATGGCTACCTCCCACAGAGACCCACCAAAGCTGTGGGGAGCCTGTGCTGGGAGAGAGCTGGAGGAAGGAGCTTCCCAGAGGCAGAGGGAAAGGGAATCCTCGCCTCTCACTCAGCATACAGTAGGAATTCCAGTAGGTACACTTGTGCAATATGGTTTTCATGTTTTGTTTCAGATATCCCCCGGCAAACATGACATATAACATTTTTATAATGAACGGAAAGGCTTGGTGGCAGAAGTCTCAAGAAAAGAACTCCAAGAAATACTCGGGAAAGCAGAAACAGCTGAACTGTGATTCCTGTGTCTAGGTACGGGTGGGCCAGCCCCCGTGGACTCCAAGCTGTGATGATGCGCCTCCACGCGCACACCTGGAGAGGCTCCTGGATCTGGCTGTGAGGTGTACTGTATGAATATTTACATTCTCGGAACCTTGGGTGGACCAAGACAAAATGTTTCACTCCAGGATGCTTGTGGTAGTGTGGCACTATGAATCGTGCAGGGAGTTAGGACATTTACCCAAAGACAAACCTGATAAACAATGGATTTCTTTATTAAAGCATTAATTCATTGATTCAGTCATTCATCAAATAGACATTAACTGAATACCTAATACCTAGATGATATAAAAATACACGAGGCAACCAAAGACGTTGGAGTCCGGTATGGCCCTGGCAGGTTCCTGAGATGGCAGTGGGCTGGCTGAAGCTCTTGGGTGGCCAGTTAGGTCTGTGTTCCAGGGTTGGGGCCCTCCTGTCGGTGTTGGGTGTTGCGGGAGCTAGGAGCACTGCCATGCTCAGGCAGCGCCTGCCCCCTGCAACACGGGAGGGCAGCAGGGTCGGGAGGGGACCTGAGGGCTGTCACAGCGGCAGCTGGGGAGGACCCTCCCTACCATCCGTGTGGTGCACTTGCCCCAGCCACATGCTCTGCCTTGACCCCAGCGGAGGCATACACTCCTGTAGCACCAGGCAGGGGTCCAGAGGGGCAAGGACTGGGGAGATCGGAGGGCAGAGGAGGGAGGTAGTGTAGAAAGAATGGGTGTGGCCTAAGCAAATCATCCTGATCAAGGGGATGGGAACTGGCCCAAGACAAACTCGAGGGGTGAGGGGGTGGAAGGTGGAGAGAGGGAGAGTTGGGTGGGAATGGGGCAAGAGAATGGGTGGGGAGGCACAGGGGTGTAGTAAGGTGGAGGGTGAAGATGAGAAAGGAAGGGCTCTGGGATAATGGTGTTGGAGAGGGGCAGGGCTGGGGAAGAATGAAGTAGGGGGTAGGGAGGAGGAAGGAAGATTTGAGTGCGAGGGAGGGAGAGCAGAAAGAACAATGGGGTGAGAGGAAAATGGAGGAAGAAGGGAACGGAGTGGTGGGGGCAGATTTGGGAGGAGATGGGGTAGGAGCAATGGCGGGGGAGGAAAAAAGTAAGAAGGGGTGGGAGAGACTCTGCTGGGTGGGGACTGGGCAAATCCCAGAGGGGCAGGGGGAGGAGAGCCCTCTCTCCATTTAGCATCGGAGCAGCTGTTATTTACTGAGCACCGGTCCCCACTCAGGCAAGCATTTATTGGGCACCTCCCCATGTCAGACCCATGCCCTGGCAGCAAATACACCCCAACTCACCCGGCCTCCCAAAGCGCTCTGCTGGAAGTTGACCTGTAAGGGCCTGCCCTTGGCCTCTGTGATCTAACCCCTTCATTGATGAGGAATCTGGGGCCAGAGAGGGAAAGAGCGAATGCTCCATGAGAGCAGCTGCCCACAGGTCTCTGTTTTCCTACCCAGGGCAGGTGCTCCAAGAGGGAGAGGTGGTGACTAGAGTGTGGCCATCTCCACCTGACACCTGACTGACCCAGACCTCACAACGTCAGGCATTTCCCAGTCATGGCCCCTGGGAAGCTGGGCCCAGCTGGACTCCTGACCTTCTCTGGGCCTCAGTTTCCTTGTCTTGGCAATGGGGGTAGGAATTCACCTCCTTTACAGGGCTGTCAGGTGGTTCATTCAGCAGCAAACATTTATCGAGCACTTGCTGTGTGGCTGGCACTGTCCCGGGCTGGGTGCTGGGGTCACCATGGAGAGAGAATGGGTAGTGCCGCCTTCCTCACAGCATCTTGCTAGCATCCTCCTGAGCTTGGGATGAAATGCGTCTGCCAGGGCTTGGGTGTACCGCAGGCACACCATAAATACCAGAGTTTTCCGTGAGCTCCTGACTGGTTGTACTTCCACTCTTATCCCCTCCTCATCCCAATCTCTTGGGACCCCAGACCTGAGAGCCAGTTCTCCCTCCTGTTGGCCCCACAGCTCTACCTCAGGCTTGCATTTGAGGAACAAGTTGGGGTCCACCGCCTCCAGCCTCTGCCAGTGGTCTTCCATTACCTGCAGGCCCACGGGCAGCCTGCCCTGGGCTGTCTTCCATTTCCCCCTTTCCCTATCAAAGAAGTGGCCTCTTTGCTTCCTCATTTGCTCTCAACTAAGGGCTTCTACCTTCAGTTCAGAGGTTGGTCCAGCGGCCTGTCCTGGCTTGATGCAGGAGATTGCAGGGTCTAGCCCTGCGGCGGCTCTGGGCTCCTTTTGAGCCAAGAGATCCCAGGCTCTGCCATTTCCTAGCTGTGAAACCTCAAGCCTCAATTTCTAGATCTGTAAAATGGGGCTAGCCTACTTTCTGGGGCTATTGTGAGCATTAAGTGCACCTTAGCTCAGGCCACACATAGTAGTGCTTACTGTCAATGAATCAATGAATCTTAGCTCTTATGATTATTCTGTACAACTTTGGTTCTTTGCCTGCCCAGCATCCTTTCCTCCTCCTTCCAGCCATAGTCCCTGGCTTCCCTGGGGTTCTTAGCGTGGCGTGGTGGCACATGTGACCTGGCCCTAAACCCCTCTCATACCCCATCCACTGGCTTCAGGGACTGGCTGGGGAAGGGAAGTGTGTCCATTCGGCTAAGGAGCTGTTTGGAGCTCTTGCTGGGAATACTTAGAGAGCAGTTCTTGCTCCCTGAGTGGGATTTAAAGCTGAGTCACACTATCATGGACGACAGGGAGAAAAGCTGTTTGAGAATAGAGCCCGCACCTGGGCTTTTCCTCCATCATGCCATATTTATTGGACACCATTGTATACCAAGTGGCGCTCCAGTTGCTGGAAATGCAGCTGGAAACAAGATACTCCCCACCCCACAGAGGTCACAGTCCTGCCCCAGGGCCTTTGCACTTGCTGTTCCCTCTGGTTGGAATGCTTTCCCCCGATCTCTCCATTGCTCCTTCCTGTGCCTCCTTCACGTCTTTACTCGCAGGTTGTCCCCTCAGTGAGGCCTCACTCTGACCCCTCAGCTCCATATCACACGCCCACACAGCTCTTCTCCCCCTCCCTGGTTCACTTTGCTCCTCAGCACTTGAAACTATTAGGCTCTACAGAGTGCTTATTTATTTTGTTACATCTCTGTCTCCTTCACTAGAAAGTCAGCTCCACAAAGGAAAGGATTTTCATCTATATCATTCACAGCAGATCTACTCAGATCTGCTCAGAACAGGGGCTGGCATAGAGGAGGGGCTCCGTATTTAATAAATAGGGGACCTCCAAGGACTATCTGAAGAGGTGGTATAGCCGTTACGGTTTGAATGTTTAAGGAGCCAGCATTTGCTGGCCCCCAGGGGAGGGCACGTGGCTTCTGTGCACAATTGATTCTCTTCTGACTTAAACCAAGTTGGATTTAAAAATTAGGGGTGGAGGTTGGGGAGGTGTCGCTCTCAACCTTTAAACTCCTGTGTTAAGCTTGGAAGGGTGCAGAACTTAAGAGCTGTCCCTAGAGAGCGCAAGGGAGACCCGTCACTGCCCTTAGCCTGCAGTCACTAGCACACTGTAAGAGACGGGAAAATCCGGAGATGATGATGATGATGATGATGTTCGTGGTGTCGAGAGTGGGCTATTTGTTTTAAGGTCTGTTTTCAGGTTTACAATGTCCCTATGAGGTAGGTACCATTTCCTAAATGAGGGAGCCAAGACAGAGGGAGGTCAAGTAACTTTCTAAAGTGGCAGAACCGGAGAAAAACAAGAGAAAGGTTACAACTGTACGACCACCCAGGGGAAAGGCAGGTGAGCTGTGTGGCTGAAGACACCCCGGTGGGAAGGAATGGAGGAGGGGCCCTTGGGGAAAGGCTGTCCTCCTTTGAGGAATCACTGGGCTGAGGTGTGAGCCCTCTTCCCGAAGCCCACCTTTGGCAGGTTTCCACAGCAGTGGCCTGGTGTCCTTTCAAATCTGGAACCAAATACGGCCTGCAAAAGTGGGGGGGAAACTGACACAAACCCCAACCCTGCCCAGCCTGAGGCGTGGAAGGCTTCCTGGGGGAAGCCACATTTCATCAAAGACCTGGAGGGGGAGGAGTCAGGTGGTAGAAAACGGGGTGGGGAGTGGGGGAGGTGGGGGGAGTTCAGGCTGGGACATAGCGTGGGCAGAGGCCTGGGGGTGTAAACGTGAGCAACCAATTTCTTCCAAGGCTTTCTGCCTGTCTGGAGTGAATATTTACTCAAACCGGCCCTTGGCAAATGCCCCACAACTTTCCCAGCCCATGTTTCCATCCATTTGCTCTTTACCCTGAACATTCAAAAGACGTATTTCCTCGATGATGGCAAAGCAAACGGCCTTATCTGCAGGCCCATCTCAGAGCTGTCTGGGACCACGCAGTTTCACGAGGCGTCCTCTGGGACTGGAAGGGGCTAGAGGGCTCCTGGGCCAGTGCCTCCCAGAGGCTGGGAGCCCTTCTCAGGCCTGAGGACCTCAGACTGGAAGCCGTAAACCTGCTGCCCTTCGGGTGTGCCACCCACACGTGGCCTGCTCCCCTTCCAGGTCTCTGGGAATCCCGCTCACAGCTATTTTGCAACGAAGGTTTCCTCCTCCTCTGACCACTCAAGGTGGGTTGTGGGGCCAGACCCCAGATTCAGTGCTGCCTGGCCACTTGACATCCGTTAATTAACCTCTCTGGGCTTCACTTACCTTATTTGGAAAATGGATTAAATTGCAAGCTTCTTACAGTATTCCCTGGCATGTCTTAAGTGCTCAGTAAGCACTACTGTTACTACCTTTGCAGATTAGGTGGTTCTGATGCTGTGATTTCCCCCCTGGCAGCCTGCGGGGCGTTCTCTCACTTCCCTGGAAAGGAAGGTCCAGTATGGAAACAAAGAGAGTTTTTTTCTGCATCCTGAGTTTCACGGTTCCTGTGGGGAAAGGGAAAACTTTCAATAAAACAGTTTTTTTTTTTTGAAATCTACATAGGAGAAAAGTATCCCAGCCTGGAGCCCAGAAGAAAAATTTCCTGAATGAGGACAGGGAGGTTCAGCGAGCTAGGGGAGAGCAGAGATGAGG